AAGCAAAGTACAATACAGCAGAGGACAAACAGCTTCCACACAACACAATGTACTCTGATGGTCCCAGCTGTGCTCCAGGACAGACGGTGGCTGACAGGGGATGAAATGAGAAACGACCTAAGAGTGGAAACTGTTGTTCAAGCACACACTTAATAAGATGCTGGAACTTTTTAAAACAGCCAAACTTAAGTTGTTACAAAACAGAACCCTGAGGAAAAGAAGAAAACCAAATACAGTGTGGGTACTTTTGCTATCTAATAGAGCTTCATTTCCACCTGGCTCATAAAGCTTTTCTGATTATCATCTAAAATGAACTGACCATTAAGTTAAAAAAAAAACTGAACCTCTCTTTAAGTTACATCCTAAACAATAAAGTGTATGTGTAAATTAAAAATAACTTCTCTCATTTAGTTTCTAATTTCTATTTATAGAGATCTTGTTGGAATCTATGACTCTTGAAGAGTAGGAATATAAAACAGTGTCCCAATAAAGGGACTAAAGAAAGGTCCCAAGGTAAGTGGGGAGGGAGGGGCAGGGCTGTGTAAGAGGGTAAAATATAAAGAGATGTGAAAGTTTCTATTGATGGGAAAGCTGAGACAATCTCATTTTTTCACAAAACCATGAGGTATCATTTCACACCCACTAGGATAGCTGTGATTTTAAGAGACAGATAATAACAAACTTTGGCAATGATGTATCGAAACTCAAACCCACATATTACTGATAGGGATGTAAAATAGGGTGGCCCATCAGGAAAAAGGTGAGAAAGGAATCAGCAAAAAAGCTCAACAGATAAAGGAACTTGCTACTAAGTGATCTGAGTTCAATGACCAGAACCGTATGGAAGAAAAGAACCAACTTCTACAAGTTGTACTCTCTCCACACACACGACAGTACAGCTCATGCACACAAACACACACAAATATGTGTGAAATAAAATCCATAGAAGGTTAAACATAGTTACCACACAACTCAGTGATTCTTCTAGAACGTAGTGCTCGACATGAAAGTGCACTCACATAAAAACTTAAGATCATAAGTGTCGTTACTTCCAATGACAAAAAGTGGAAAGCCTACATGTCTATCCACTAAAGAATGGACACCTATGTGGCATTAGGGTTCCATACAACAGAACACTCCATCAATTTAAAAAATATGTATGTATTAACATTGGCTATATCACGGATGAGCTTTTAAACATGGTTAAGTAGAATTCGAGGCACAAATGCTTACATACTGCATGATCTCATTCGTATGAAACATCTAGTGAAGACGAATCCAGAAGCATGCAGTGAACTGCCTGGTGGCCTGAACTAGTGGATGCTTGGGAGGATTTCCTTTCAGGTGATGAAATGTTCTAAAAGGGATGATGGCAATGGACAATGAAATATACAAATAATACTTTAAAACCACTAAATTGTTGGGAGCCCATTCCCCCATGGAGGGATACTCTCTCATCCTAAATACATGGGGAAGAGCCTAGGCCCTGCCCTAAAAGATGTGGCAGACTTTGATGACTCCCCATGGAAGGCCTCACTCTCCCTGGGGAGTAGATAGGGGTGGTTGGTGGGGGGCATGAGAGGATGAGAGGGAGAGGGACCTGGGATTGATATGTAAAATAAGATTATTTCTAATTTAATTAAAAAAAACACTAAATTTTACAATTTAAATGGGTAAACTACAGCCAAGCACTATGTCTCACGCCTGTAATTCTAGCACTCAAGAAGTTGAAGGAAGAGGCCAGCTGGGCCACACAGTGAGTCCCTGGCCAGCCAGGGCTATCTAGTGAAATCATCTCCCAAAATACACATAAAAAAGATGAACTGTATTGTCTATGAGTTACATCTCAAAAAAGAAAAACTAACATACGACTCAGGACGGTGGTTGGCACAGGAGTGCTCAGTATATGTTATCAACGCCTTAGAGGTGACAGGCTCTAAGTAGAATATGCTAAGAGTATCTTATTTACATACATCAAAAAGCATTCCCAGGTTGGAGACAGTTCAGCAATTAAAAGCACTGGTTGCTCTTCCCAAGGACACTGTTTTTTGTTTGTTTGGTTTTTTAAATGAAATGAGTTCAGACCTTTAATGCTATGGGATCAAGATTGAAATCCCAAACATCTCCAATCAAGTCATCCAGTGCGTCCTCAATTCTTCTCAACTGAGATGTATACTCCTCAAGGAATTTCCCGTAATTCTTAAGCTGGACTTCAGCATGGATTTCTGAATTAAAACAGAATTTTACAATTACAAATAGTGAATGGCAGAACACTAACTTTAAGTAACCTCAAAAACTGCAGCAAAATACTGTTAATTACTATTTTGGAGTGCCTCACTTCTTAGAAATAAAGTTCCAAAGTTAAAGAGTCATTCAGCTTTGAATTTTCTCCAAATATGTGAAAGTACTTGGAAACCTTAGGACTTCTAACCAGCCTGAGCCTCAGACAACTCAGGTCTACAAGCTTTACTATACTTTTTAGTCACACGACTTTGTTGCAAAGGGTACCAACCACCTGATATGAAGCCAAGCTCCTATTGTTACAGAATAAGTTTTAAAAGGTTGATTAATTCTATACATAGTGAAATGTTTAAAGAATACATCCAAATCTTTTTTACATGGAAGTTTAGACCTGCTATATTATATTATTATTTCTATAATTCCCAGCTTACCAAAATGCTTTACTTGTTCAATTATTTAGCTATTATAATTGAGATGCAAAAGCCAAATAAAACATACTGGCTGAGGCAAAGGCTGGAGAGATGGCTTATTAAGAACATTGGCTCTTGTAAGACTGAGGTCCATTTCCCAGCTCCCATGTGGCAGCTCTGTAACTCTAGATACAATATCTACTGTGGCCTCTGCAGGTACTGCACATACATGGAAAATAACAAAACAATGTAAAAAAAATTAGAAGAAGACAGCTGGGATTTATAGAATAGTTAGTAGATGGCTTTAGGTTTATAGCAACTGGAATAAGTTGGATTTTTCAGAAGCCCATTCACCAAAATTAATAAACATTCCATCTTATACCTTCTTATGCCTAACAATTCATTACTTATTCCAAAAAATTCAACTCCAATTCAGTTTCTTTTACTGATATATATATAACTTTATTCAGTCTTTGTCTTCTAAAATAAAGTATGTTCTGACTCACATTGTATGAAAAATACAGACACCTGTCCTTTATTTTGTAATTGAGGCTTCAAGTCATGGGAATCAATTCAGTTCACTAAGACTTCTATCTCATTATAGCACTCATTTAGTTAATTTTGGAAAACAATTAGTCTAGATATGACTCACAGTCCAAAAACTAATGAGAACCAGGCACAGAGAAATCTCTTACCTACAGCTAACAATCCCGTTAATGTATTACTCTATTACACAGGAAATGACCAAAGTATCATTTGACCAGCAGATGGGTTCTTAAAGACTGATCTGGAAAAACATGCTCATAGATAACCTGGTTAGACCAAGGTAAAAAACAACGGAAAACCTGCAGAAAACTCGGGTTCCTTGCTGGTAAGATAGCGAATAGCTGTGAACTCGCAACAGTTAAAGTGTGGAGCACACTTCCCTCCCAACAAACCACATTTCTTCATTTATTTGTCTTACTACTTTTTACATTGGGATACAAAGTTATAGGTCTCATCATGGCATTTGCACACATATGTGTGCTTACACTGTGTCCTCATCCATGCTTTCCCCTCCTTTCCCCAGTCCTGTTTTCGCCAACCTTCTAGAGGCTAAGAAAAAGAGGGCCCACGTATTATTATGATTAACTGGTCATTCATTCTACTTCAAGCCCAATATACCCTCACCACAACTCTGGTCAGATGCAAAAAACAAGAGAATACTTGACAAGATGCATTTTGCTTCCTTCCATCCAGATCTTTCTTTATGCTGCCCAGGACCTAGTACCTTAAATGATGTTTGGGGAAAAACTGCACAGCGTCCTGACATAGCTCGACTGGGTGTAGAGGCAAATAAAACCCAAGTACATATACACCTGTACATGCTATGCTCTCTAAATAATTCACAGATCAGCTGTAATTTTTTCTAATGGCATTCCTACTTTGGGGAAAGACATGCATTTTAAAAAATTCTCAAACAACTTGCCTCAATTTCTCTTCTACCACACAAAAATAAGATCAACCTCAAGAGTTTCTCTAGCATCACTAGGTTGGCTCGTACATCTTGCTGAAACAAACTGTAAGGCTTCTGGGTTGGACTCTCTGATTTTAAAATTAAAATCGGACGACTCGATTTTCTGAAGCAACTGCGAAGCAGATATGATAAGAAAATAGTAAAACAAAGTAAAAATTAAAATACCTTTCAGCTGCAATGGCAATTACAGGTTTTTGAAAACCACCTAAAATCAATAAAAGGCCTAGAAGAGACAAGATGATCGTCCCATGTTGACTGATGTTTTCGTTTTTTAGTGTCAGGAAGGGCTGTTTTTCGCTAACATTCTATGGTTCTAAGAATGCGCACTTCAAAAGTTGGTTTGAGAAGCAAAGAAAAACAGGAAGCCGAAACGGGAACCCAGACTCTTCTGGAACAGAGCATCTGGCGCAAGCCTTGGGATGGGATGGGCAACCCGGGAGGATGTCCTCTGGCGGCGGGCCCCAGGGAGCGGGCGCCGCTGGCCGGTCACCCGCTACCAGGAGGGACACCCGGCACGAGCGCGGGGGGCCGCGACCCGGCAGTCACGCCACGCCGCGCCCGTCCCACCCCGCGGGAGGGTCCCAAGCAGGCGGCTGCGCAGCGCCGCACCGCGCCGTCCTCCCTCGGCCGAGCCACCCGGCTCGCCGCGCCCGACGCCGGGGGCTTACTCTGAGAGCCGTCGTCCACGCGGTCGAACTCCCAGTCCGGCGATAGAGTGTCCACAGCCATCGCCGCGGCGCCTCCCACAGACACAGCACCGAGCAGCCACCGCCGCGACGCGGGCCTCACCCCAGCCGCTGTCACCGCACGTGACTTCCGGTATCGGTCCTCCCCTCCCCCCGGCGCCCGAGCCGGTGGCCGCTCGGCCCTGCGGACCGCGGGGGCCGCTGGGAAAGCGAGTCCTCCGCCTGCGCCAGGCGTGGCCGCCATGGTGACGGTGACTGTGGGCATACTGAGTCTTTTCCGGGGCCTCGCTGCCGCTTGCGTCTGTTCTCACGCCACATTCACTTTCTCCTCGCTACGTCCAGCCCGTTTTTAATGCCTGAGGGAGGGGGCGTGGAAAGAGCGGAAATAAGGAGGTGAGGCGAACGCAAAGACAGGGTCCTTCACCAGGACACTGCCCTGGCCGTGAACCGAGATGCCTGTCTCACAGGCTCCTTTTCTGTCTTTGCCATCGCGGTACCCCCACCCCCGTAGGTGTCCTGCCCCAATTGTTTTTGTTTTTTGTTTTGTGAGAAAAGACCTCTGTGTGTGTATAAGAAACAACCTCACTACTGTCTTCCTTCCCTTGATTTTAAGAAGGTGGGGTGGGAATTGTGTTACCTTGAGTTCTACATTTACCCTTAAGTTTACACAAAAAGCTTTGTATCAGCTCGGTTTTTAGTAAGTGCTTATGCGAAACAGTCTAAATACCCATCAAAAAATAATAGAACTTATAGACATCCATACTCTGAATTCCTAGAGAGCTATAAAATGAAATAGGTCTCAAATGACATGAAAAGCAGGACAGGAGCCAATCTTCGAACAATGCGTATTTGCCGTTACTTTACAATCTGTGTAAATCAGCATGCGTTTGTTCTCAGGTGTTCGCAAATACCTAGGAAGAATTCAAATCTCTTTGAACAAGACAGTGGTTTTCTTAAGAAAGAGTAGATCCTGATGAATACAAAGTGACTCTTAAATTTTCCTTGTGTCTATTAACTGAGTCTTTTGCAACTAGAGTTTTTAAGTTATTTGCATTGGGCTGAAGAGATGGCTCACAACCAAAATTATAAGTTATTTGCGTTATAAAGTACCAAAAATCAATATAGAATATTATCTTGAAAAGCATATTCTGAGATGTTGAGGTTTGGACATGGTTTTACTTTGAGGCAAGATCTCATTATCATAGCTGAGCTGTTGTTCCTGGACCTGTGGCAAGACTATGGAGTGATACCTCCAAAAGTCTGAGCCAAAAATGACCATCTTTGTAAGATGCCCATCTCAGGAATATGTTATAGTGACAGCTGTCAAACACAAGAGGACTTCTTGCGCCTCTGGCTTCAGGATGTCCTGTTGGAATGTTGGGCTTCTTTCTGTAGCCTGCATGATTCTGGCAGCTTTCTGCAGGTTCCATATGGTAGCTGTTGGCAGCTTCAGGATCACATTATCACAAGACTAAATGCAGCCTACGAGAAAAAAAGAGCACACTTAACTGATAGCTTGAACAAAAGTCCCAGGATCAAGTCTCTACAGTAGTGACTAGCCTTTCTTGATACTTGAGGACACGTTCCAGCCAGTCTCAGAGACTGAAAGAATGGGAGGGATGGACAGATTGGTTTAGTGTAGGTCATGGGCTCCGTGGATACAGAGAGCAAGGGAAGGAGCAGCCCTGTAGGAATCACTTGGCCCGGGGCTGGAGGAGACTGCACTATATGGAAACCAGTGGCTGTTACCACAAGAAGAGGAGGTGTATGGGGGGGAGGGCTCAAGCTATGACAGTGACTACATCACTCAGCCAGTCGGTCTTACAGCCAAACACCTCACAGAGACTATGGACCAGGTACTAGAGGGAGTAATTAGTTATTGCAGCAAAACAGTTTTTTTTTTAAAAATTTGTAATGATTTTATTACTTAGGTGCTTACATTTAGAATTCTAGACTACAGAATTTATAGGATTTTACTAACATTTATTTTGTGCTTAAACTTGGAGTCACTACCTAACAGAGGCTGACCCTGAATCCCAGATCTTCCCACCTTCACTTGCTGAGTGCTGGGATTACAGGCATGTGCCACCATGCCTGCCTGGCTTTGTAAAAAAATTAGAAAATCAATTATTTTTTTTCTAGTAAATCCAAACAAAAGCAAAACTCTGGAGAAAAGCTGAAAAAATGGACAACCCAGAGGATGATGATCTGTAAAAAGAAAAAGGCTCTGCAGAAACATGTTTGGGGAAAAGCCAAGAGTCTAAGAAAACATTCTTTACCACCAAAATTTGATATGGTTTTAACTAGAACTATGTTATGTCAACTAGACATTTCCACGGGAACTTTACATGAGCATCTGACCAACATCATGGAATCCACAATCTCGGTATTCCCATCCAGAACCTGCTTCCACGCTGTGTGAGAGCCATGGCTTACGTTAGTCAACAGCTGGATGACCCACCTAGGCCAAGCTGGGTACTATGACAATGCTTTCTGTTTCTCAGTGAATGGTTAAATTAATCTTTTTAAAATGCCTTTCAAGTTGTGAATGAAATGCAAAAGTTGTCAGGATCAAAATGGAGTCGCATAAGGGGAAGCTGACCCAGCAGGGAAAAGCGCTTGCCACCAAGCCTGGCAACCTGAGTTCAGCCCCTGGGACTCATACAGCGAAAGGAGGGGACTGAAGTTTGTCCCCTGACCTCCACATGGGTGCCCTGGATTGTACACAGATAAATAAAATGGGGTCTCATGTCAACCCTACAAAAAGCAAAATGAACAAAACCAGGTCGTGAAGGAAGGATTCAATACCCATGGATTGTCTAGTAATTGTCACAAAGTATTCTGACATATTCCAAGATTTGCACAAAGGAATATGCAGCCTTCTGGAAAAATAATAATACAGCCCCACTGTGGCCAAGAAAAATGGTTTCACAAAACTAATGTAACCCTCTCTATTTGTACCTTTAAAACCTTTCTTCTAGCCGGGTGGTGGTGGTGCACACCTTTAATCCCAGCAATTGGGAGGCAGAGGCAGGTGGATCTCTGTGAATTTAAGGCCAGCCTGGTCTATAGATTGAGTTCCAGGACAGCCAAGGCTACAAAGAGAAACCCTGTCTCAAAAACAAAAAGCAAGCAAGCAAACAAACAAACAAAAAAAAAACCTTCCTTTTGCCTGAATTTTTTTTATGCATGCTGGGGTTTACATGACTGTTACCTGTGTGTCTATCGCCAAAATAGTACTCTTTGAAAAATCTCTCACTTTGGTTTTAATTTGGCTTGACAAAATTGTTGTTACCCTTGTGCTGAGGGATTATTAATGACTTTTTATGTCCTTATCCATTTCATTATTTTATAATATTCAACAGCAAATGACAGAAGAAGGTTCAGGACTTTCCATCACCTACTTAACATGACCAATGGCTGGCTGGCTGCAGTCTCTCCCTATCTCTCTCCTCCACATACCTCCCCCTGCCCCAGCTTCAATAAATGTTCTGTTGTGATTGGCCTAACATGTGCTCAGAGACATCTCTTCCTGGAACTGCTCCGGAGACTGCCAGGAATGATCAAAAAACATCCTTTATCCAAAGAGCACACACAGTCTTGCTTTTAAAGTTAAATAATAATAAAGGTACCAGGTTTCTTTGTAATATATCATCTTTTAAGGAATATATTTAGCTCCATGGGCATGTCCCACCAATGGCCTACTAACTTAGTCTCTGGCACTCTCAGGCTCTGGCTGGAGTGAGTGTTCACTAGAGGCATAGACTCCTGTGTCTGCAGAGAAGTCCAAGACACAGCAGCTGAAGCCACAGTGACACTCCCTACTGCTAGTACTCTGCCTGTAGATACGCTCTAGTGTGTCATCTCCAATCACTGTGGGCCACAGGAGACCCATTCCACCAAGAGAAACAAGAGCCAACAGAAATGCCTGGTCTGTGGGCTCTCTGCAGGTCAAAATCAAAAAGAAAACTGGGGGAGAGGGGCCATTTTGGTCACTGATGATCACTGCAAGTTTGTCCCAAGAGACCTTTATTATAATGTATCTATGCAATGAGATCAACAACAGGCAAAGACCTTGAACCTTACAGTGTCCCTCGGTTTATTCTGTGCCACTGTAAACAGATATACAAAGAGGTCTATGTGAACTCACAGTTCCAGTGTCTGGGGAATCCAAACAGCATGGCAGGAACGTCTATGAGGACTCTCTAGCTATGTCCCAACATGTCAGACAAGCAGAAATGGAAAGTTTCTTCTGCAGGGAGAGCCAAGCATACGAAGTGACCCTGCTTTCTAATACCCTGATATCTCCAAAAGGAATCCAACGGCAGGAATCCCAACTCACTCCAGGATCTCACTGTCCTCCACTTGACCCTGACTCTTTTCAAATACCTACCACCACCTCTGCTCAAGGGAGGGGAAGGGAGAGGGGCAGCCGGGGGAGGGAGAGGGGGGAGATAAAAGTGTGCATGCTTACTCAGGGCCCACCCAGTCCATGAGAATGCGCCACCCACAATCACGATGCATCTTCTTACTTCAATTAACACAAGAAATGTTCCATCTAGGCAATCCCTGTCCCAGGTGATAACAAAAAGCAGACCTCGGAGAGTGTCCGAGGACCATTGCACATCTCTCTTCCTGAGTAACTGGTGGAAGGTACCACTTCTAGTGAACGCAGAGACTATCCACGGAACGGAGTCCAGGTAGTTTCCAAAAGATGCCTCTGGGGTTGGCCACCAATTCGTTCTCAAGACCGCTCCGGGTCACGTGTGCTTGGGGTGGGCTGGATCTCTGCCAGCCAAGAGGCGGGACCTGCCAGCCGAAGGGCGGGGCCGTGAGCAGAGCTGGGACTGAGCAGCCCTGGTGCCCATTCCTCCGGAGCAGAGGCTCCTCTCCATCATGCTGTGGCCGGGCAACCAGGCGCTTCGGCACTTCTCCACCGGTCAGGTAAGTCCATCCACGTCTTGGTCTTGCTTTCCAGACCTCAGCAGCTGCAGGGCCAGCGCGACGAGGTTGGGGTGGGCAGTGATACCCAGATCGCGTTAGAAGGGCCGCAGCTTTATCCAGACTGTGCGACTCCAGGCTGCAGCAGTATCCGGAATGGGAATTGGCAAGTGTGCCTTTGTCTCCTGCGGGGGAATGTGCTGCAGACGCGGTTATTTAAAGTATCAGGTCTGACTAGGATGACAAGCTGGGGACTGACAATGGGTAAAGGGACAGGAGTGGGCGTCTGTTTTCTTCCTTTTTGCATTTCAACCGAAAGGTTCCCTAGTCCCGATGTGAGCGGTATAGGATCGGGACGGTGAATTAGAGTGAGCACTTGGCATTGGCCTTGCAAGGTCTGTCAGATGTGACTGTGACCCAGGCAAGCTCAGCACTGCAAGCAGGGACAGCCCGGTGCTTCCCACCAAGGGGTAGTGGCCAGATTTCCAGGACCACACAGCGCTGCAGGAGTAGCCACGCTGGAACGTTGGTAAGCTCAAGAGTAAGAACAGGGCCCTGGTCCAGCCCTCAGGCTTGGGATTGCATCAGCACTTGTGGAAATGGAACCGGAGCTGACACGTTGCAAGTGGCTGTGCCTTCGGCACTTCGGAGGGCCTTGGGAGACAGTCTTTCAGGCTGCTGGGGCAAAGGAACGCATCTATCCTGTGTACATAATCGCTTTTGTAAGCCTATGTCCTGGCTGTGTTATAAAAGATTTTCCCCCACTGGTATTTCTCTGACAGTGCCATATGTAAAAACAAGTTTAAGGCAGAATCTTGACTAGTGCTAAGAATTGTCCCAGATTTTCATTCATTTCTGTGTCTCCTAGATAAACCCAAATGGCCAGAATTCATCTGTGCTTACAATCAATTCTGGCGATTTCCGGGAATGGTGACAGTCTATAAAATCGGAAGGGCAAGATCTGTCTGCCCTGGGTTTTCCGGTGCCCCCTAGTTCCTTCATCCACTCTGGCTCTACAGTCTGGTCAGGTGGCACAGTCTAGTCAGGTGGCACAGTCAGCTGTGTCTCTTCACTGGCCTTTGTCACCTACCTCCTTGTCTGTTGGAGAGCTGAAAGGAAGGACTTTGAAGGATGTAAAGATTCCATGTGGGGCTACAGAAGTCTTCAGTGATAAAAACTGAACATGACAGGTGGCAGATGCCAGGAATAGAAACACGGCAGGGAGAAGCAGCAGGCTGTCCCAGGAGCCTACTGTCCCCAGCAGTACATGTGGCCATGGACAGAGCTTGGAACAGGCAGAGTTCTGTGTGGTCAAAAGGAAGACGGAGAGAAAGAGATGAGGGAAGAACTAGGGGCATTCCCTCTGATGGTAACACAGACTACACTCTTTGGACTGTGCTTTCTAAGAATTAGGTTAAGATGGACATACATGGTAATAATATAAAATGGCACAACCACTTAGGAAGTTTGGTAGTTTCTTTTGTGAAAAATTTAAACCACATTTTATTTGGGGCGTGGACATGCCAAATCGCACATGTAGAAGTCCGAGGGTAATTGTCACTAGTTAGTTCTTTCCTTCCATCTTGTTGTCCTGGAAATCAAACTCAGGCCCCCAGGCTTGGCAGCAAGTGCCCTTACCAGACGAGCCCTGTCACTGAGCTGTCTGGTGTGGTGCTAAATGTTTTTACCATATGATGCCACATCCACTCTGTTAAGTCTTTGTTTTCATGGTGTCAGGGGTGGAGCCCACAGGCAAAGCATGGGCTGCACTTCTGTGTTATAGCCCAAGCACCATTCCTAGGTACTTATTTGCCCATGAGAAACTAAGCCCTCTTACCGATGTTTATAGGGGTGTTGCTATCCTCATCCTTAATTAGAAAGCTCATTCTCATCCGGTGATAGGATAAACGGATGTAATGTAACCATGCATAGAGTGGATTTCACCTCGAATGGGAAGAAGAGCACCACTGGCATCCACACTGGGAACGAAACTCAAATATGCATGTTAAGTAAGCATATGAAGTCATTCAGAGGTGGATATTCCCTGACCTGAAACTTTGGAAAGAAGAAAACATGCTAGTTCTCAAGATCTAGGTTTAATAGGAAGGAGCGAGTATTGTGGACGTAAGGAAATGGTAGTGGGTGCTGGAATCTCAGCTGTTGTGAAGTGCTCAAATAGGCACGAACACGACAAAAGCTCTGTTCAATTTAACTATACTTTGTGTTAGTCTGTTTGCTGTGGCTATTACAAAACACAGGAGACTGGGAACTTTATAAAAAAGCTCTCAGTTCTGGAAACTCAAGAGCATGGTACCAGCATCTGCTTGGCTCTTAAGAGACCTCAGAGAGATGACATCACAATGATGGAGACACAGTGAATAGTGAAGATGGTGTGTCCCCCTTTCCTGAAAGTCTTTGAAATGTTCTGTGGTCACCATTTCATGCCAGAAATGTGATCTCTCTCCCTCCCTCCGTCCCTCCCTCTCTCTCTCTCTCTCTCTCTCTCTCTCTCTCTCTCTCTCTCTCTCTCTCTCTCTCTCTCTCTCCTGTGCGCTAAGCATCGCCCTTCATCCCCTTCATTCCTCACTTCCCTACAGGCCTCTCTGATGACATCATCTTTAAACTTTTTCTATTCTTTCTTTTCATTTCTTAAAAAAAAAGGGGGGGGACTGGCCTGTGGTAGAGACAGAAACAGACAGATCACTTGAGTGCAAGGTCAGCCTGGTCTACAGAGCAAGTTCCAGAAATGCTGGGAACCAGGACTACACAGAGAAAGTCTGTCTTTGGGGTGATGATGAGGAGGGACAAAACATGTTTCAAGGTGCTTGGGAGCTGGTTCCAAGGTTCAAGCACCTGTGGCTCTTACAGAGCACGTGAGTTCAGCTCCCGGCACCTATGCAAGGATCCGTGTAGACTTTACAGCTGGCAGGGGGAAAAACGGTCAGGGTGAAGAGTGAAACTTCCATCCACCTGATTTTGGTAAACGGTGCAGGGCCAGGACTTCTAGAGTCTGATGCAGGTTATTTGACCTCAGCCACACTTAAGCACAGCCCAGGTTTGGACAAAACGTATTCAGGTAACAATTAACTCAGTCTTGTGAGTACAGCTGTTGACTTAGAAACACTGCTCATGATAAGGGTCTAGGGAGCCTGACTGAGGCAGACACACCTGTGGGTGTTAGGACTGGCCTGTGAGGGTCTAGGGAGCCTGACTGAGGCAAACATGCCTCTCCGTGTTAGGACTGGCCTGTGAGGGTCTAGGGAGCCTGACTGAGGCAAACATGCCTCTCCGTGTTAGGACTGGCCTGTGAGGGTCTAGGGAGCCTGACGGAGGCAAACATGCCTCTCCGTGTTAGACTGGTCTGGCTCTCAGTTAGCATGAGGTCTCTTAGGCTGTAAAGTACAGAGCACCTCTCACAAAGATGAGTTGTATGGCCTAGAAGTAGTGTTCAAGGTCGTTTTGTTTTTTGAGGGGTTCTGGGATAAACAATATTCTGGGAATACAGGGGTAGCCAGGCCCAACATGAAACAGGGGATTGCCAGGTTGTAAACTACATGGCCTCCCCCCAGCATTCCAGGAAAACAGCTATGCACCTTACTCCATGGAAGAGACAAACTATGTGTTTAACTTTCTTGGCTTCCCCAGTGCTTATTTATGCATAGGAGGACACGTATTGCCCTCTACAAGCATCCATGCTGAGCAGCTTACCACCACCTGTGACTCCAGCTACTGGGGTCCAACACCACTTCCTGGCCTCTGAGGCCATCATAACACTCATGGCATAATCCACGCAGACACATACACATTAATACCATGAAAATAATGAATCTTTTAAAAAATCATTTTAAAAAGTGGTGAGGGCTGGGGGTGTAGCTAGTAACAGAACACTGGCCTCACATGCACAGTGGCAGCTTTGACCCTCCAGACCAAAAAACAGTATGATAATTGATATGAATACCTTTTGTATTTAATGACGCAATAAGGAAATCAAGTTGCATAGGCTTGTCATCTGTAAACCTCGCGTAGCTTCATGTCTGTGTGAGAGCTCATTACACTAGCCATGGGGCTTTGCACACTCCAAATACATCCTGGGAATACACCGAAAATCAGCTCTTATTTTCAGCCTCTGCTCCATTTTCAAGCATGAGAGACACGCCTTGGAGCCAGTTCATGCCTGGACAGACAGAGTTGCCTCAGAGATCTGCTAACCCAAAAATGAACCCACATCACGATCCTGCTCAAAGTCACTCAGGGATTCCCGCTGTCTTCATGATGTGATACACATTACTGGCAATGGACAAAGTCCTCTGCAGCTCCTGTCTCAATTGCCATTTGTCAGCATTCCATGACTCCCCATTATGGACAATGTGCCATTCATTCATTCCCTTCTGCCTGGGACTTCCCAGGGGTCTCCTGTAATCCTCCCCACTTTCTTGGCCAGCTCCCAAGACGACACCCCTGAGGCTCAGCTAAAGAATTCCCATAGAGACAGGGAGACGGATCTGTAGGTAAAAGTGCTCACTAAAGAAGCTTCCAGTCGGGGCTGGAGAGGTGGCTCAGTGGTTAAGAGTACTGACTGCTCTTTCAGAGGACCCAGGTGTGATTCCCAGCACCCACATGGCAGCTCACAACTGTCTGTAACTACAATATCTGGCACCCTCACATAGACATACATGCAGACAAAACACCAATGCAAATGAAATAAAAATAAATTAAAAAAAGAAGCATCCAGTCCTGCCTTAAGATCCCTTCATTCAGGAAGCAGAGGCAGATAGATTTTTGTTAGTTCAAGGTCAGCTTGGTCTACAGAGCAAGTTCCAGGACAGGCTCCAAAGTTACAGAGAAACCCTGTCTCAAAAGAAAAAAGAAGAAGAAGAAAGAAAAATGAAAGAAAGAAAGGAAGAAAAGAAAGGAAAAAGTTGGGCCTGGTGGCGTGCACCTGAGACAGGAGGATCCCTGGAACTGACTGACTACCAGCTTAACTGAGTCAGTCAGCTCCAGGTTTGGTAAAAGACCCTGTCTCAAGTAAGAACATGGAGACTGACTGAGGACACCTGGCATTGACATCTGGCCTTTACATGTATCACTCATGTATACCTGCACACATACTATGTGCACACTCATAGTTGGAGTTTTCCTATCCTTCAACAACTCTCAAACACAGTGAGGCTTATATTAGCTTATATTAATTATAAATGCTTGGTCAATAGCTCAGTCTAATTACTAGCTAGCTCTTGCATCTTAAGTTAGCCCACATTCCTTATTTATGCTCTGCTACACAGTGGTACCTTTATTAGCATGGCGTGTTCATCTCCTGCTCCCTGTGTGGCTGGCTGGCAACTCCTGACTCCGCCCTGCTTCTTCCCAGAGTCCTCAGTGTCCCACCTATATCTCCTGCCTGGCTACCAGCCAGTCAGCAATTTTATTAAGCCAATCAGAAGGCACCACCCATTTACACAGTGTAAAGTAATATTACACACACACAGAGGCACACATATACTGTCTCCTACCCACTATGAGGAACTGCCTTCGGGCAATGTCTTCCCCTTTCAGTATCCCACTATCCTAGGGCCGTGTCACTGATATGTCTACTTGAATGCCTTTCCTCCCAACTCATGAATTCCCTGAGGACAGGAACCACTCTTTCTCTGCGTCTTGCAGTAAAGGGGTCCTAAGAGAAATGTGCACAGAGAACAAATGAGAGAGACAAACGAAGGATTGTTGGTCCATCTGTAAGACACTGTCCTGACTGATAATTGGTGTGGGAAGGCCCAGGCCACCGTGGGCAGCACCATCCCTAGTCACTAGGGATGTGTAGCATTGAGCCAGTAAACAGCTTTCCTCCATGGTCTCTGCTTCGGTTCCTGCTCTGACTCCTCTCAGTGATGGACTGTGCCCTGGGACTCCAAGCCAAATAAATCCTTCCCTCCCCCAAGGTGTTTCTGGTCACAGTGCTTGTCAGAACCATAGAAAAGCAAACTGGAACATCCCATCCTGTTTCTTGGTGACTATTGGGTTTCAAGCTATGTCTCCATACTTTTTTCTTCAATTTCTTCATCTGTGAAAATGAGTTATGAATGCCTGTTTCTAAGAATCTGTGTAGTCAAATGCAGTCATGTGTGTGAAATAGGTGGCATGGACCAACATTCCATTAAAATGTTTCAGTTATTTCTACTTTTTCTTTCTGCCCTGAGCTTCCCAGGGCACATCTGATCCATGGTGCAGAGAGTCTCAGGTGTTAGTGAGCCCAGGAATCACTAAACAGCCTGTTAGGATGCAGCTTCCTGGGCCCCTGATTCTGATTCAGTAGATCTGCAGTGAGAACCTGGAATCCACATTTGAAATGCATCTTCCTGGTCAACACGGTCAAGTCAATGCTTGGACTGTACTTGGGGAAATGAAAACAAGGGCCATCTTAAGTCCAGTTTTCAGGAATCCTGTGAACTCATAAATGCACTTGAAGTCCTGAAATCCGAGTATTTCCCAGTGTTAAAAACTCACCATGAGCCGGGGGTGTAGCTCTATAGCAGAGTGCAAGCTTCAGGTTGAAGATGACCGGTTCAATTCACAGCACTGGAGAGAGGGATGGGGTAGGGAGACACCCACTAAGCTCAGAAAGTGTTTAATGAATGTAATATTCTCAGTGACTACAAGGCTGCTTTAAACACTCTTTCGCATCTGATCTAGAATTGAACTCCAACTAGCTAGATGCCAGTCAAGTAGAAAGTAGCCAGCACACTGCATTGAAGGATGAGGCCTCTTGACTTTCGAGTGCTTTGAGATTTTTCATGACCACAAAACTTTTGTTGGTAACACTGGTTGTTAAACTAAGGGTCTTGCACATGGTGAAAAAACACTCCCAAAAAGAGCCTCAGCACAGCCCCTCTGTGTATTTTGAAAGCAATGTTTCATATGTCTTAAATTATCTGGCATTAGGGGCTGGAGAGATGGCTCAGTGGTTAAGAGCATTGACTACTCTTCCAGAGGACCCGGGTTCAATCTCAGCACCCACATGGTGGCTCACAATTGTCTGTAACTTGAATTACAGAGAGTCAACACCCTCACACAAATACACATGGAGGCAAAACACTGTTGTACATAGAATAAAAATAAATTTTAAAAATATCTAGCATTAGTAATTTTGTGAGAAGTTGAACATTTTGTGAGGTGGCCAATAGAAAGATTCTATTTCAGCCCTAATTATAGGATACAGAGATAAAATGTTTATAGAGCACCTTTTTTTCTAGGTGTGTGTGTGTAAAACCTTCTGAGTTCATTTAGCAGTGCCCATGCATGTATGTATTTAGGGCTGGCCATTTGGAATTTGAGGTGCGGGAATTGCATTGTAGGTGTATCAGTTGGGGCTGGGCATCCCATGATCGGTTCTGCATCTTAACCAATCATATGGCTTAATATAATTATCTCCATCTACTACCAAAAGAAAAACTTCTCTGATGCGGGGTGAGAACTACACTTACTGTGGACATAAGGATGAAGATTTAGGATGCAGTCGGGATCATACTGGTTTAGGTGGCAGTGTTATATTCTCTCCTAACATCTATGACCTCACTAGCCACGGGGAGTTGGCTAGGTTTATATTGCCAGGCATAAATTCCCTCCTATTTAGAGGGTCTGGAGCTCAATTAAGCAGCTGTTGGTTGCACCAAGATGTAAGTGCCACTATTGCACCTTTAGGGGCATCTTGACATAATGATCATTGTGGCTTCTAATGGTCACAGCTGGGTAGGGCTATCGATTGCTTCTTGCCTGGAAGCTTGCATAGCATTCTAGTACTATGAGAGTTAGTCCTCAGGGAAGGGGCTTTCTTCAAAATCCAGCCTGATTTCTCTGTATCCTACAACTGCAGGGCATGGTGTTTTCAGCAGTGAGGTCTTCCCTTTGCTTCTAAGAGGCAACCAAGGGCAACAGTAATAGTATTGTTTTGGGAGTTTCTTGGACTCCCCTGACCAACAACCCATGCCTGAAACCGTTGATTTTGTTAGAGTCTAGTTTGGGGGCCATTATTATCCCAAGTGCACAACAAGTGACTATGTAGCCCAGGCTGCTCTTATGCTAGGAACTCTCCCGCCATCACAGAAACAAAACATTTTGTTTTGGAGGTCTAGGAACTTCTGGTATTCCTTGAGTCATCTTATGTGACTGGTTTTCTAGTATCTGTCACCCAGTGTTTTCTGTCCACAACGTCAGCGGTCACTGTTACTACATTCTTTCACAGGTTTATTTCAAAAACAAGCTGAAGTTGGCACTTATTGGCCAGAGCCTCTTCGGGCAGGAAGTCTATAGCCACCTCCAGAAAGAGGGCCACAGAGTGGTGGGGGTGTTCACAGTTCCAGACAAGGACGGAAAGGCTGATCCACTAGGTGAGTGCATCTTAGGACACTGGGTCAGACACTCTCAAGGCTGGTGATCAGAGCTGCGTTTGTGGCACTGCACGTGACCTCTGTTGTCATGCCATTGTCAAGACAAGGCTTTCATATCCAGAGTTCAAGGTGGCTGCCTCAGCTCCAGTCAACTCTGTGTTCCAGCAAACAAACAGGGAAAAGCTGGAAATGGGAAGATGGTTCAGTCAGCGAAAGGCTTACCACACAAACCTGAGGACCCGAGTTCACATCCCTAGCACGCACACAGAAGCCGGTGCCCTGGCCTTGTCTGCTGTGGAAGCATTGTGGGGTGGAGGTAGAAAAATGGGAATGCTTGGACTCATTGGCCCAGTAACTAGCCTGTTGGCGAGCTCCTGGTTTAGTGAAAGACCCTGTCCCAGAAAATAAGATGAAGAAGGATTAAGAAAGACACCTGACATTGACCTGTGGTCTCCACACACACGGGTGCACACATGGACATAGTCACGCATTCATATGAACATGTGCATACCTCACATATCCACATGCCAAAAACAAAAAATGGAGAATGAGCCCATTATCAAGGACACAACCCAGAAGTGGCGCACATGACTTCATTCACATCCCGTGAGCCGGACCTTAGGCAGAGGAGCCTAGGAAACTGAGATTGCCTTTGAAGCAGCTATGTGTCTCAGTCTTGTTTCATGTGGCTGAATAAATACACAAGCAAATGCCATGATAAAACCAACTTAAGGAAGAAAAGACTCACTTGGCTCACTGTTTCAGGTTAGAGTCTACCTCTGTGGGGAGGTCAAGGCAGTGGGGACTGAAGCAGTTCATTAAGTCACACCCACTGGAGCCTGAGTGAGAGCAATGATTCCTGCTAGCACTCAGCTAGCTTTCCACACTCAAGACCTCCAGCCTCGCGAATGGTACCACACATCTTGGATGAGTCTTTGTACCTCTACCAAGGTGATCAAGATAAACCCCCACAGACCAGCCCGCAGACCAACCTGATCCAAACAGTCTCTCGCTGAGACTTTTCCCAGGTGGCTCTAGACTGTGTCAAGATGGCAAGGCTGGCCATCACACTAGCATTCCACTGCTGGATGAGGAGGGCAGACAACCAGCAGTCCCTGCTATGAACATGGATATTTGGAATTGCAAATACGATTATCAGACTGATTTCAAGGTAGACCTGGGAAAGGAGCATTCCCTTGGTACCTTGTCCCAGGGCCAGGATCTTGTTCCATGGGCCATGGCCATTTGGATTCATGTTGTAACTCAGAAAAAGAAGACGAAGTCAACCTGACTTAGGTACAATGTGGCCCTAGCGCATGTGTTCTAAAATCAGGGGACTGCTGTGGATTCTGCCACTCACCAGGACCGTGACCCTGTTCGAATCACTTAGCTTGCTAACCTCTAATTCAGCGGCCCCTGCCCCACAGGCTACAGTGAGAACTCATGAAGGGGCAGGGACATATGAAAAGTGCTGTGAAAGACGCCTTGGGTCAGAGAGCTTCTGGGCTTAGCAAGGCTTCTGAGCTGAGGGTTAGTCCTGGAGATCTCATCTCATCCTTCAGGACTGTGATAACTGGAGAGAGGAGAGACAGGGAACAGAAGAACACAGGCAAACCCAACTGCCATGGCTCCTGCAAATGGCCAAGGATGAATATATAGGGCTGACATATGTACACACACACACACACACACATACACACACACACCAAATGAATGCAAATGTAATGAAAGTTCTTTTTAAAAAAGAAACTTCCATCCGGGCGGTGGTGGCACACGCCTTTAATCCCAGCACTTGGGAGGCAGAGGCAGGTGGATCTCTGTGAATTCAAGACCAGCCTGGTCTAAAGAGTGAGTTCCAGGACAGGCTCCAAAGCTATACAGGGAAACCCTGTCTCAGAAAGGAAGGAAGTAAGAGAGGAAAGAAAGTTCCATCAAAATCTGAAAACATTATGTACTCACCAGCTTTGAACTCAAATAAATTACAGTTTCAATACACAGGTGTATAATGAATGTCCCTCTAGAAAGATGGGTTAACCTAACACAATGATAACAACATTAAACTCCAGTCACAATCCAAGTTATCATCCTCCATGACGTTTAACCTGTAAAGGTTTGGTGAAATTGTGATGTTACTGTGTGTTAATATAAGAACATGGCCTAGAGGTGGTGGGGGGGAGCAGGAGGGGAACTGGGATTGGAATGTAAAAAATAAATTAATAAAAATGTTATTTTAAAAAAGACCATGGCCTTTTAAAAAGGACAGCCTCTATTTTTGTGCTCAGCTTTGGCAGCAGAGAGAGATGGAACCCCTGTGTTCAAGTTCCCTAGATGGAGAGTCAAGGGTAAAACCATCAAGGAGGTTGTGGAAACCTACCAGTCAGTGGGCGCTGAGCTCAACGTGCTTCCCTTCTGCACACAGTTCATCCCCATGGATGTCATTGATAGCCCAAAGCACGGCTCCATCATCTACCACCCATCCCTCCTACCCAGGCACAGAGGAGCTTCTGCCATCAACTGGTGAGACGCGTAATAGCAGGGGTGAGGGCTCTTTCCACTGTCCACGGAAACAGACTGTATTTCTGTTGTTCCCTACATGATGCAGATACGAGATGCGCTTGGGACTGGAGAGATGGCTCAGTCAGGAAGGTGCTTGTCGTGCATGCATGGGGACCTGAGTGCAGAGCCCCAGCACCCACATAAAGCCAGGCATGGGGCTTCCATCTGTAATCCCAGTCAGGGGAGGAAGAAATAGGTGGCTCCCTGGAGCTCACTGAGTAGCTGGCTGAATCAATGGGCTCCAGGTTCTTATGAGACCCTGACTCAATAAGTAGGGTGGAGAACAACTGAGGAAGATACTTGATGTCCATCTCTGACCTTTATATATGTGTGTACTCCGTGTGTGCACACCCACAGAAACCCATGCATCACACACACACACACACTCACACACACACACACACACACACACACAGTATGCTTCTAAGGTGCTGACAGGTTGCTTAAATGGTGTGAACTCCTCTGAGATCTGAAGACACTATATGAAGTGGGACCCAATTTCTCAATTAACTCCAGTGGCTATAACAAGGTCACACAGCTTCTGAGGTCAGAGAAATAAGATCAGTTTGATTCACGCTGGCTTATCACAGGACTTCTTTGCACTTTTGGCATATACCTTATTAGTCTTCATAGTGCATGATGCTCCCACAAGTTTTTCTTTTCACACAAAGCTTCCCAAGTACATTTAGGAAAATGTAGAGTCACCAGAAACTGCCTACTTTATTACGCATCATCCCTCCTTTGACTTGAAGCTCCTCATAGAGACTGTTCAACATTCTGTTTCAAGCAGAACTCCGGATACACCTTAGATACCTAACACCGTGGCACAGTATGCTGAGGCTGAGCTGGTCCCTCCCACCACGTTTACCTTCATTCTCTCATCTGCCACCTTCCTGGTACCTCTTGGCATCAGCTCATTGAGTACATAAAAAAACTATATGTGGTTTACATGTGCTGAAAATACTTTATTGTGTTTAAAGACTGATGCCAGGAATTTATTTCCTTTTGGTCTAATAAGTAGTACATATATTTTCATTTGAATTATTTCTATATGCAGAATCATTGAGTCAAAGCACATGGGTATTTCCAAGGCTCTTGACAGTGTAATGCTAACCAATTCCTCAAGACTTCTGCAAAGAGAGAGCCATTGCAGTTAGGCCTTGCTTGCTTGATCACTCAGAGAAGTACAGATAATTCAGGGAGGGAGTTGAAGCTGGAGAGATGGCTCTGAAGCTAAGTACACCTGCTGCTGTTACAGATGACCAGAGTTTGGTTCCAACAGCCAAATCAGGTATCTCTCAACAGCCTGTAACTCCAACTCTAGGGGATCTGATGTCCTCTTCTGGCCTCTGGATAATCTGCATACACATGGCATGCACTCACAAGCACATACATAAAAATAAAGCTAAAAATGATTGAGGGCATTTGTGAACATCTACTTTACAATTTCTCCATGTGTGCCTGCTCTCTGATACGTGTTTATAGACATTTTTCACATATCCATCTTATTGTTTTCATTATAAACCCCTATAGAGTTAAATTAAGTATTTCTCTTAGTCTATGTTGTATACAGCACACAGTATGAATAGTTAATTTTATCAACTGATTTTTACTACAGTTTATGCAGCCAGTCTGGAGCTCATTCTAATCTTAAGTGATGTTTTACTCAATTATACAACCTAGATTAATCAGTTTTCTTTTTCACATTGTGCTGAACACCCTCTGTTTTATTTTCCATTCTTATGCTGACTGATCCTGGTCAAGTGCAGTGTAGGAAGTACATGTGGGAATAAAAATTACTCAGTCCCAAATAAGAACGCCATCAGTGGTGGTGGGCAGCAAGGATGGATGCTGATATCTTTTAGGATGCAGCACAAGCCATTAATATAGACTATACATAATGAAGATGCTGATACCTTTTAGGAGGCAGCAGGAGTCGTTACTGCAGATTATACATAATGAGGATGCTGATGCCTTTTAGAATGCAGCACGAGTCTTTACTGCAGACTATACATAATGAGGATGTATCACACAGCTCCTGCCAGGTGCTGCCCTCTCTGAGCTCTGATGATTCGAGCTCCGTTCCAAGCTTCCCCAGGTCACTCACTCACTACCTCCATCTTCATTGTGACTTCCTCTTATTTTAACAAGACTAAGTGTCTGCTTGTCACAATCAGCCATCGTTCTAAGTCGAAATTCTTCTTTTCCACAGGACTCTAATCTCGGGAGACAAGCAAGCTGGCTTTTCTGTTTTCTGGGCAGACGATGGTTTAGATACAGGGCCCATCCTTCTTCAGCGATCATGTAATGTTCACCCCAATGACACAGTGGATGCACTTTATAACCGCTTCCTTTTTCCTGAGGGGATCAAGGCCATGGTCAGTATACTTATACCATCAACACTAGTTTAGGAAACCTTTAACACTGGAGGGATGGTTTTATTTCATCAAGAATTTGCCAAGCCAGGCATGGTGGCGTGTGCTTGTGACCCTTGGTGGCTTGTGCCTGCAATGTCAATTCCAGCTTGAAACTCTGTGAGGCTGATTAGTTCCTCCTCAAAAGAATGGAATGGACAAGACAACAGGCAACTGTTCCATCCTTTTAAATTTCCAACCATGTTGATAATGGCTAATTATAAGGAGGTATAAATAATCTTTAATTTTTTTCCTGTGTAACGGACTTTATTTAGTCTATAACAGAGTGAAATATGATTATTGATTTATTTATTCAGATGTGCTCCGAGGAAAAATACTCTGAGCACACATATATACTATGAAATAAAATATTCTGTCTGTAAAATTATTCAAAGATTCAGCAGATAATTTCCATGCCATTTGGTTGTTGTTCACCCACCAACTAGAATTTGGTAGAAAAAGTAGCACGATTTTGTCAATTAGTCATCATCTACGTGAGGGAAGAGTGAGGCCTTTGTTGATGTCATGACTAACACAGAGGGTCCTTGTCGTTGGAGAGATCCGTCTGCACGCTCCTGTGCTACTACTTACAGGTGATGCTTTATGGACTGACAGCAGCAAGCCCTCAGCCTCTCTGGCCTTGGTCCCTTCCTGTGCAGAAGGTGGCAAACATTGTCTGGCTTGTAAGAGTAATCTCGAAGTTAAAACTGATCATTATAATGAAAATAGCACATAGTGACTTCCCAGTGAGTGCGGCAGGAAAGAGAATGCAGACGCACCCCAAAGGTCATGGATGCTAGCGCTGGCTGATGGACACAGCAACCATCTCCTCCTGCCCTCCCATCTTTCTGGGCAGGAGGCAGTCATCACAGCCTGACTGTGTGAGCAGAGCTATATGCACTCGGTCTATTGGACACAAACTCCCACTAGACAGGCTATGCCTTTGCGGATCACTGGGCTGTAACACCGGTGATGGTTTTGGCTTTAGGTAGAAGCCGTCCAACTCATAGCTGATGGAAAAGCTCCTCGAATTCCCCAGCCAGAAGAGGGGGCATCATATGAAGGTATCCAGAAGAAAGAGAACGCTGAGGTACTTGCATCAATAACGCACAGCCAAGTCACAGCCCTTTCCCTTTGAGCAGTCCCCAGCATACCATTTCCTGACCCAGAGGTAACCCCCCCAAGCCAGCTGGCCCTGTGTGTCCCCACACCTGTCCCTGATGGAGAGAGAGGTTACTGCCACCTTCAGGCCTCACAGTGTTTATTTGTGCTCACCTAGATTTCTTGGGACCAGCCTGCTGAAGTTTTGCATAACTGGATTCGAGGTCATGATAAGGTCCCTGGTGCCTGGGCGGAGATAAATGGACAGGTATGCTCTCTCTGTCTCTCTCTGTCTCTGTCTCTGTCTCTGACTCTCTCTCTCTCTCTCTCTCTCTCTCTCTCTCTCTCGTGTGTGTGTGTGTGTGTGTGTGTGTGTGTGTGTGTGTGTGTAGTGTGTGGGGCCATGTATGTGTGAGTGTATGCACATACATGTGCACATGTGTGTCTGAAGATCAGAGACTGATGTTGATGTCCTTTTCCACTTTGGTTTTGAGATACTTTCTCACTGAGCCTGGAACTCACCAGCTGACTAGATTTGCTGTCCATTGAGCTCCTGAGACCTCCTGTCTCTGCCTCCGAAGCACTGGGATTGCAGGTCACACCCAGCTTCTTACCTGGTGTCAAAGCTGTAACTCAGTCCTCATGCTTATGCAGCAAGTACTCGACCAACTGGGACTCTCCCCAGCCCCCACCTTTAAGACCTCAGTACATCTATTAATTTTATGTGTGTGCCTGTGTGTGCCTGTGCGTGTGTGTGCGCGCGCGCGCGCGAGCGCGTGTGTGTGTGTGTGTGTGTGTGTGTGTGTGTGTGTGTGTGTGTGTGTGTGTGTGTATAGCACTTGTGTGTAGGAGCCCTCAGAACCAGAAGGCATTTGGCCTCCTGGAACTGGGGTTATAATGTTTGTAAGTGGCCATGTGGGTGCTAGGGATGGAACCTGGGTCCTCTGCAAGCGCAGCAAGTACTCAAGCCCTGAGCCCCTCTCCAGCCCATCCCTGAAACTTTTCTCACACATTTGCAGAGATTCTCATTTGTTTCCTTTCTACTGATGCTTGACTCAGTCTCACCAAATAAGTACATATGACCAAATCGTGTCTCAACATTACCACAGAAATTTGAACTTCAGTGTTTGTACTGGGGAAGACAATTGCACACACACACCCCTGACAGTGACTTTACTTCCTGAGTTTACAGGGTTTGATCTTTTTCTTAGATGGTGACTTTCTATGGTTCATCATTATTGACACGTTCTGTGCCTGCTGGAGAACCACTGGACATTAGAGGTTCCAAGAAGCCTGGCCTTGTTACCAAAAACGGACTTGTTCTTTTTGGTAATGATGGAAAAGCAGTGAGTGTATAGTCTTTTTTGTCTTCCTTCTGTAGGGAATAGCTCCTACAGCTTTCACTGGGAGATGGGAGGGTCATGGTGTGTGTCCTGCTTCCCTGGAGATGAGAGGCATTTGTGTGCCCAAGGACAAGGTTCCCCAGGAAGGCCTCATGGACCTTCACAGTGAGACCACAGGGGGGGGCTGGAAACTGAGTCAGAGGAGGGAGAAGTGGACCTCTGCTTATCCACCTGCTGATTTGGGAAGGATGGTTTTCCCTGCTGTGTCTCAGTTTCCCCATCTATAAAGCAAGGGCTGAGATCCATATCTGCCTCCCCCTGCCAGAGATAGAGAAGATCCAGTGAAACCCGTGTGGCCTCTTTCATTGTCCACTGCTATCCCTCGCCAGGTCAGCCCCACCCATATGGCTAGTTCTGGGCCTCCTGGACAGATTCCCAGCAAGAGTATAAAAGGGCATTTGTAATTTGCAGACCTGTCCCCACTGTTAAGGATAGATGAATGATAATGCTACAGTGTTTCAGTGCCAACTGCTTCTAGGTCTTTTTTGTTTGTTTTTGTTTTTGAAGACAGGGTTTCTTTGTGTAACTTTGGCTGTCCTAGAACTTACTCTGTAGATCAAGTTGGCTTCGAATTCACAGAGATCAGCCTACCTGTGCCTCCTGAGTGCTGGGATTAAAGGTGTGCACCACCATCTGGTCACTGATAGGTCTTAAACCAGCTCTGATATTTACTATCTGGGTGACACTAGACAAATCATTGAACTCCACTGAGTCAGCAACTCCACAACAGTAAAACAGGTACAATAGCGCCCATCTCCAATAAGATTTCTCAACTTAAATTAGATCCCAGCACATGCATCCGCAATGCGCCAGAGTGAGTGGCTGTGTGCTAGCAGCAGTGGAGTGTCCTTTGGTCCAAGCATCTGTAACCAAAATGCAGGTTTTTCCTGGGTGCACTGTCCATCCATTCTGAGATGCATATTTCCCTAGATTTGACTATGTCCTTTTTTCTGCCACCATTAAGATGTCATTCCAGCCGGGCGGTGGTGGCGCACGACCTTAATCCCGGCACTCGGGAGGCAGAGGCAGGCAGATCTCTGTGAGTTCAAGGCCGGGGCTGGTCCGACAGCCTCCAAAACAATACAGAGAAACCCTGTCTCATAAAACCAAAAAAAAATATCATTCCAGTCCTTTTAGACACGGGGAAGTAGTTCAACCATATATCTATATTCTCCAAACAAGCTGGTCTCTATACCCATCTAACGCATTAGACCTCTCCTCCCAACAGCCTCACTGTTTGGATGGTTCAAGCCCTCAGCTTGTTTTCCTGCTGTCTTGTAGCTGATGGTGAGAAATCTGCAGTTTGAGGATGGGAAGATGATTCCTGCCTCCGAGTACTTCTCATCGGGTGACACATCAGTGGTGGAGCTCACAGCTGAGGAGAAGAAGGTGGCAGAGAGCATCAAGGTAACACGTGCCATCCATGACACGAATCTTACCTTGGAAAACAGTTACCTATTTGCAGCTGGTGCAATTGTCCTTAGAGCAGTAGGAGTGTGACTTTATCTCCTCTTTCTGTATAAGTTGTAGCTAGGAAACCGATTCAGAAATTGATATGCTCAGACACAGTATATAGAAATTTTTTTTCAGTTCAAGTTGGCATAAAGGGCTTGGCTGAAGTTGGGACATGGGATACAAAGGTAGAGCCATTCAGAAACCCAGGCTGGAGGTCATTTTTATTCTAGACGGAAGGACAAAAACTCACATGTCATTTTTCATAGGACTAGGCCGATGGGGTGGGACACTCAGGTCACCTCCTGTCATATTTGTTGGCCATTTGTAATTGAGGAGATGATGAGCAATACCTCCACACCTTGTCTTAGGGTAAAGGGCAAAGAGGTGTCTGCCCTGGGATCCCACACAGTTCTTCATGACAGTGGCCCCTTCTGTGCAGGTCATCTGGGCTCGGATTCTAAGCAACGTCCCTGTGATTGAAGACTCCACAGACTTTTTTAAATCTGGAGCAAGCTCAATGGATGTTGTGAGGTAACACCACCTCCTCTGCACACACACACACACACACACACACACACACACACACACACGCATGCACGCACGCACGCACACGCTCTTCCCTGGGAACCTATCTAACATACCCCCCCATCTTCTTCATGTTTTTTGTAGTTTCCATGGTCACACTCACAGATCTGTTTATTTGTTTGCTAACCAGGCTGATTTCATATCCTTTAATGCTTCTGATTATTATTTTTTAAAAATATATTATTTTTTGTTTATGTGTATATGCACACGTGTGTGTGTGTGTGTGTGTGTGTGCAAGCATGTGCCAACGTCAGTGTGTGAAGGTACCCACAGAGTCCAGAAGAAGGCCTTAATTGCCCTGAAGCTGGAGTTGTGAGCTGCTCAAATGGGTGAGGGAACCAAATTCAGATTCTCTGCGAGAGTATGTGCCCTTCACCGCCGGGCCACTCTCCAGTCTGGAGTAATTCTTACGCCTCACGTGCCCGTGTCCCAGCATGACCATTTCCCACCCTCTCTACTCCCTAACAGTTCCCTTTTATTCATGGTGTAACCAAAAATATTAATTTCAAGAGCATATGACATTATCAAGGTCAAGAGGTCTGGGTTTCTAAACTACAGTTTCTTAGCAATAATCCATGAATTCATAGAAAATTCTGATTAGCTTAATAAGGATTCCAATGCTGTATTGTAGTTCTTGTTACCTATTGCTGACAAGATGCCTGAAGGAATCCCGATTTCCTGGTAGACTGAGTTAACCAAATCATTTACTGTTATCTTTATAAAAATCATGTATTTATTGTGTTGGTGTGCCTGGGCAATCACATGTCATGACAGGTGTGAGAGTTGGAGAAAAACCATGAAGTCTGTCCGCTCTTGCCTTCTACCATGTGGGTTCTTAGGGCCAAACTTGGGTTTGTTGGCCAGAGCCTTTATCACTTTCTCTTGCTAGCCTTCTTATTAATAATTGACACGGTACATCTGCTTCTTCAGAGAATAAATTGCTAGAGGGCTGTAAGTGGTGGGCTTTCCACACTGGACCTGGTAAACCTTCCCATGTAAGAAAGGTCGGCTGGCAGCAACAGTTCAGTGGAGGAGTCGAAGGACTGAAGAGGACTTGTGACTGTCTAGTACCTAAGTTATACATGTAATACAAACAAATTTCTATGGTAGCCAGACTGCAGAAAATCTTCTCTATTACATTCGGCTCTCACAACCTTTCCAGTTAGGAAGCTGCCCTTTTGCTCATTTTCTGAGCCCATCTGAAAGGCGCAGACTTATATGCTCTTACACCTTTCCCTTAACTTATTTTGTTTGTAGTTGTGGGCAGAGTTAAAGCCACAAAACTGTTCTCAAGGCTGATTTTTAATTTTCTCAGGTCACATCGCATTTTAAATTTATTTTCACTTTATGTCTGTGTGTGCCTGCTTGTCTTACATGCATCACTGTGCAAGCAGTGCCCACAGAGGCCAGGAGGGGGTCAGATGCCCTGGAACTGGAGTCACAGGCGGTTGTGAGCTGCCCTGTGCGGGTGATGGGAACTGCATCCAGGTCTTCTCTAAGAGCAGAAGTGTCTCTCCAGGCTTACCCACATCGTAACATCTTCCGTAGCTGCTATCATAGACAATCCTGCATGATGCCAACAGGATTCACTCCCAAATCTCTTACCAGTGCTAGTGAACAGGCCACGAAACTCTTTAAAAATGGACATAATGTGAGCTGGTTCTCACTTTAAGGCTGGTGGAAGAGATCAGACAGAAATGTGGGCTTCAACTGCAGAACGAAGATATCTACATGGCCACCAAGTTTGAGGATTTCATCCAAAGGGTTGTGCGGAAACTGAGAGGAGAGGACCGGGAGGCGGAGCTGATGGTGGACTATGTAAGTTTCTCACTAATGCTCAACTTCAAGCTATTCCGACCCGCCGCTGCAGAGGACATGCACGTTTGCCATGCGTTTGTTGTCTTTAAGATGAGTTTTACTGAGATACAACTTAGGTGTCGTAAAATTTACCCTAGTTAAATTTGCCATTCATTTCTTTTTAGGGCATTCACAAATTTTGCAATCGTCATCATCACTGCTATATTATTTTTGATTATTTTTATCACTCCACAAGGAAAGACTGGACCCATTGGTAACCATCTTATGCTTTTCTCCTCACCTGCTCTATATCCAGGCCCTCAGAAACCACTTGTCTCTTTTCTGTGTCATGGATTTGCCATGATGTCAATATTTCATATGAATAGATTTGTGCTGCCGGTAGCCTTTTGCATCTGTTCTCTCTCACCTGACATATGTCCAAGTTCACTCTTACAGCACTTATCACCACTTTGGCTCTCCTTCTGGCCAGCTAATCTACCATTGTGTATAGGTATCCTTCCTTTTTAAAGCCCACACTTCCTTCTTTAAAATCCACTCATCAGGTGATGTGTGTTTAGATCGTTTCACTTTGGAGGCTGTTATTACTACACTGATATAAAACTTCAGGTATGTTTTGACAAGAACACACATCTTTGGTTCTCTTGGGTACAATGGAGAAGATGACTCATACTGTAATTCTATGCTTAATTTTTTGAGGAATTGCCACAGGCAGCCGTATCGTTCTGTGATCTCACCATCAGTATAATAAGAGACCTATCGTTTCCATGCTCTTCCTCAAGCTCTCTCTTTTTCTGTCTTGGCAGGTGTGTGTAAAGCATCTCAGTATCGCTTTGATTTTGTACTTGATAATGAACAATGACATTAAGCATCTTTTTTAAGGTTTGCTGTGCATTTGTTTATTTTTGTTTGGGAAAATGTTTATTCAAATCTTTTGTCCATTTTTTAAAAATTGGATATCTTGACTTTTTAGAGCCAAAGTTCTCTATCAATTCTGGACACTCAATCCTTATCAGATATGGATTTGTGAATATTTTCTTTTCTTTTGACCTATGGATGGTATGTGTGTGTGTGTGTGTGTGTGTGTGCGCGCGTGTGTGTATGTGTGTTTTCACTTTCTTGGTAACAACATCCTTTGACATATAACAGACTTTTTTTCTCCAAGACAGAGTCTCACCATGTAGCTCTGGGTGTCCTAGAACTCACTATGTAGACTAGGCGGACCTCAAACTCACAGAGATCCACCTGCTTCTGCCTCCTGAGTTCAGGGACTAAATACACACACCACTAAGCCCAGCCCAGATTTTTATTTTTGTGAAATTCTTTGTCACTGCACTTTCTGTCTTGTCTAGTGTCTCTATTCTCTTCTGCTATCTTCATTGATGTGAATAAGGACAGTCTAGGGTGCCTTTCTCGTCCTGTATTATTTTTTACTACTTCTTTAGTTATTTCCTTACAATAAGCATTTTTGCTTAAAACAATCTAGTTCAGATTAACACCAATTTAATATCAGTATTACAGGAAAACCTCCCTGCCATAAATCTGTTATATACCCCTAAACTTGGACTATTATTTTTCGTATGAATTTCATCTGGGTTTGTTATAAACCCCACCACAGATTTCTAATTATTGCTTTACACAACTTTCTCTTTCTTATTTTGTTTTTGAAATTATGTGTATGCATGTGTATCTGTGAGGCTTGGGGTGTGTGTGAGCGCACACACACACGTGCACTGTGTGAGAGCAGAGTTGAGGAGAGGGTGTTGGGTGGCCCCTCTATCATCCACTACATACCCTTTGAGCAGGGTCTGTCCCTGAAGGTGGGGCTTGCACTGGGGCTCACGTTTCCTTGGCTATGCTAGAAGCCACACCCCCAATCATTGTCTTGTCTCCACACCCCCCAGGCCTGGGTTACAAGTGTGCATGGTTTTCCTGGCCTGTTACATGGGTGCTGGGATCTGAACTCGGGTCCTCATGACTGCTCAGCGAGTGCTCTTGACCACTGTGCCACCTCTCCAGCCTCTCCTTTATGTGGATTTATGTCGCTGTTTGATGTCCTTTCATCCCAGCCCAGAGGGCTACTGCGTTATTACTGAACTCTCTGCTCATTCGGGGATGCTTTCACTTCTCCTTGTGGAAGAGTGTGTTTGCAGAAGGAGGCAGATACCATTCTCCCTGTTTTATTGAAAACCCCGAGGTTGATGGAAGCAAGTATAGTAGTTTCAGTCTCTGCTTGTTACTTAGCAGCAGAGAAAACAATAAGGCAGCTCATGTGTAACAGAGAGAGCGTAAGGAAGAGATCTGGAGATGGACCCAGATAAAAGGAAATACCTTGCTAAAGAATTTTCCAAGAATGGAACTGGTGTTGAGTCTGCTGCTAGATGGCGCTGTCCACAGGCGTTTGAGGCACCTTTCTTGCCCCTAATGAAGACCATCTGAGCCAGAGCCAAGCCCAGAGCAGAGCTGCTAGCCGAGGGCCTCCCACCATGCCTGTCCCTGTGACATCCCTCCTAGAAGATGGCCTCTCTTTCCACATTAGTGACCCTGCCTCCCTCCCTCCCTCCCTCCCTCCCTCCTTCCTTCCTTCTCTCTCTCCCTCCCTCCCTCCCTCCCTCCCTTCCTTCTTTCCCTCCCTCCCTCCTTCCTTCCTTTCTCTCCCCCTCCCTCCCTCCCTTCCTTCCTTCCTTCTCTCCCTCCCTCCCTCCCTCCCTCCCTCCCTTCCTTCCTTCCTTCCTTCTCTCCCTCCCTCCCTCCCTCCCTCCCTCCCTCCCTCCCTTCCTTCCTTCCTTCTTTCCCTCCCTCCCTCCTTCCTTCCTTTCTCTCCCCCTCCCTCCCTCCCTCCCCCCTCTCCTTTTTAAAAGTTATTTTATGGGTTTAAATTTTTCTTTTAAAATTTGTTTATGTGTATGAGTGTTTTGCCTGCGTGTATGCCTGTGCACCATGTATATACTTGGCTCCCTCAGAGGTCAGTAGAGGACATCAGATGCCCTGGAACTTGAGTTACAGAAAGTTTGTGAGCTAGGTGGGTGCTGGGAACCAAACCTGGGTCCTCTGCAAGAACAAGTGCTCTTACCCACAGTGCCATCTCTCCAGCCCTGTGAATGTATCTTTATCGCCATCTGCTGTCAAGTTGGTAAGCACAGAAACACACTGACTTTATTCTAGGTCTCAAAGGAGGTCAATGAAATGACAGTGAAAATGCCGTATCAGTGTTTCATAAATGGACAGTTTGTGGATGCTGAAGATGGGGAGACTTACAACACTGTCAACCCCACAGATGGATCTGTGAGTAATGGCAGCTGCAGTCAGCAGCAGCCGTGAGCTTTTGGCTCACAAGGCTGAACACCAGACAGGCTGAGGTTTACTGGACTCTAGCTCTGCCCGCAAGCCTCTCAAATACATTTCATGCATTTCTCTTACCCATTCTGCTCCGGCACAGACTATTTTGAACCATACTAACATATTTTTTAAGTAGACTGGGTGTTTATGATGAATTTCAACTGCTGTGCCCATGTACAGAAGATCTCTCTATACATAGCTCCGTGAGGGAGGGGGATACTTCAGAATCTGTGAGCTTATGACAAGCAATCCCACTTCCCTGAGGAAGAATTGTACAGTTGTCCCAACTGTGTTCTTCCAGAATGAGATGAGGCATAAGATGGACCAAGATCAGGTTCAATTTCCATGTTCAAACTATGTCCTTTTTTTTGCCCCACATGGATTAGTTTTGTCATGGATTTTTCCTTTTTATAAATTACACCCTACTTCTACTAGTAATAGAATATTAATTCCAAGAGCCACATGGTATATCCCTTAAGAGACCTGTTTTTGCTTGCCTTGAAATAGACAATATGCAGAGTGTCCTACGCTTCTTTAGCGGATGTTGACAAAGCGGTGGCTGCAGCCAAAGATGCCTTTGACAATGGTGAATGGGGAAGGATGAACGCCAGAGAAAGAGGAAGGCTGATGTACAGGTGTGTTTTCTGGAAAAGCAACTGTTCATCTCTGGATATTGGTTAATATTGCCCAGACTTTAAAAATTCCCACAAAACATTCTATGTTGAATGCACCCATGGAAGACATGTCTCTCATTACTTGAGTCGTATAAAATCCCACACAAGTCAGAAGTCAAGGACTACATAGGATGGGGGGGATGTCTGAAGGGATGGAAGAAGAGGTGGTGGCTAGAACCTGGCAAGATCTATAGTTGCAGAAGAATGCTCCAGAGTTCTCACTCTGTCCTTGCAAAAGAGCACTCTAGAGCCCTCTGTAGCTGTGGAAGAGCCCTCTGGAGTCCTCACTCTGTAGCTGTGGAAGAGCACTCTGGAGCCCTCTGTAGCTGCAGAAGAAGAGTACTCTAGTCTGTAGTTGCAGAAGAGCGCTCTTCAGTGGTCTTAGAAGAGTACTTGGAAGAGTGACCTGGGGATTTAACCCCTTTGACCATATCCTTCCCCTACTTCACAAATTTCCTGAGGTGCCTCTCAGTCACCAGGTAGATCAGAGTAGAGAACAGACAGAACTGCACAGGGGAACATTCCATGCCTTATTTTCAAAGGCAAGGAAGAAAGGAGGAAAAATACCAAGGTCCTGGAAGAATATTACAAATGAGTGAGTATTCTAGAAGTAAGTAGTTTCAATGATTCTTCCACTTTCTGCTTACTTATAGCTAAATGCTTGACATGAATTGCAAATCTCTTATAGTGAGATCTACTAGAAGCTTGGGGAGGAGGTCCTGTCAAGACTAACTCCTGAATGTCCAAGAAGAACCATCCCAGGAAGGGAGGGTTGGGGATGGACAGGACAGGGAAGGAGGTGAATACAATAGGCTATTTTTGCTATTTCCCACAATCCCACAGGCCCCACTCACCTTCCTAAGGAAACTGGCTCCTTGGAGACTCTGCTGTTTGTGATTCACTCCAAATGCCTGCTTTGTCCTCTTCAGTTTTGAAAACATTTCTGTACCAACCAGAAAACCACAAATGTTCATGGTCCTTAGGGGTGTGTGTCTTGTGCTCTGACACCTCCCTGTGTGTTAATGAACTCTTGCTGCTGGTTCCTTTGACCTCCCCAACCCCCCTCCCCCTGCCACCTCCTGCCTATGACCACTGTGGCTCAGCCACTATTCCACAGTTTACGTACGTAGGAGGCAAGGGACACATGCTGGGGACATGGTTGGTGTCTTTCTGTAACTCAGGAGTTAAAGGGCTGAGTTGTAGCTCAGTGGTAGAGCACTCACCTAGCATGTGTGAGGTCCTGGGTTCAATCTATAGCACTGCAGAATCTGTGCTAATAACCTCCTGAAATAAGGCATTTATGTAATGTTTTATTTGATTGATGCCTTCCTAGACCGTGATCTTCATAGGGGGGGAAGTGCGTTATTCTGGATTAGTTCCAGAATCTCAGTCCTGGGATGGTGCCCTATGAAGAGCTGGCATATACAATTAGTAGGGACTCCAGCAATAAGTACCGAGTGGATCCCTCCCACTGTCCACACAGACTTGCTGATCTACTGGAAGAAAACCAAGAGGAACTGGCGACCATAGAGGCACTGGATTCCGGAGCTGTCTACACCCTGGCCCTGAAGACTCACATCGGAATGTCTGTGCAGACATTCAGATACTTCGCAGGCTGGTGCGACAAAATCCAGGTAAGCACGAATACTCTTCATTCATAGAGGAAGGTGTCATCAAGAGCACTAGTCAGCAGCAGGCCTGGCCTCTGGTTCTGTGGTGGCATTTACTCCTGACCTCGGGAGAGGAGCAATGCTGGATCCCACCCTGCAGAAAAGCAGGCCACCACTATGAGCCTCCTTTAAGTACTTTTCTTTCTTGTTCTGTGTGCGTGCATACGTACATGTGTATTTGATGTATGTTGGGGGTCTCTTGCTCAATTTCTTTCTACCTTATTTTTTGAGACAGCGTCTCTCACTGAACTGGGGCTGGTGCATTTGGTTAGACTGCCTGCTTTGCCTCTCCAGTGCTGGGATTATAGACATGCGTCATCTCGCCCAGTTTTAGACCCGGTGCTGGGTATCTGAGCTTTTGTCTTCTAGCTTACACAGCAAGCTCTTTACCTAACAGGCACCTCTCCAGCACTCCCTACCATAATGCTTTTGAGAAAGGAAACAGCAATTCATCCTAGTGCAGCCATGCTATCTGAAATTAAATTTAGTAATTTAAATTAGTAAAATATCAACCTTTCTTTCCTTTAGGGCTCTACGATCCCAATCAATCAGGCCCGTCCAAATCGCAACCTGACCTTCACTAAGAAGGAGCCACTTGGGTAAGATGTGGGAGAACCTCTGGGTGACATGGACACTGTGCTCACGCAAGGGGACTAAGGTTGTGGGCCTTCTCCCCGCAGTGCCTGCGCCATCATCATCCCCTGGAACTACCCTCTGATGATGCTGGCCTGGAAGAGTGCAGCATGCCTGGCAGCAGGCAACACCCTGGTACTCAAGCCGGCACAGGTGAGCCTGGCCAGCGGGTAGCGGGTTCCCCTTGCCTGCAAACTTAAAGCAGATATGTTTATAAAGAGCTCACCTTTAAGCTTTCATGTTTATAAAGAGCTCACCTTTAAGCTTTCCATACGATTCATAAATTCTCGCTTTAAAAAATGTGTGCCGGAGAGAGAAGCACACATATATGCATGAAGACAACTCCCAGGAGTTTGTTCTCTGCTGTTGCCTTGTGAGATCTGGGAATCATCTCAAGTCATGGGGTTTGGTGCAAAGAGCTTTATGGGATGCACTACCTTGCTGACTCCACTCTCATTTGATCACCAAAAGCCTTATAAAGACACGGAAGTGAGGGAAAGCACACAGTATTCTGTGTAATCACAGAGGCTGTGCAAGGACCAGGGGTGTGCAACCTTTGACACTGATGTAACGCAGTCATCCTGGGAGACCAATGGCTGGAAGGTCACAGGTTGAACATGCCTGAAAAAGCATGCATATATGTGGGCAACAGGGAATGTTTAAAAAAATCCATCAGGCAGTTCTCATAGACATCTGTTGATGCTACAGTAGTTTCTGTTTGTTTTATGAGTCCTTTACGTGGCCCAGGCCAATCTTAAACTTCCATGCAGCTGAAGCTGACCGGAGACATCTGATCCTCCTGTCTCTGCTGCCCAAGTGCTAGAGTCACAGGCAGAGGCCACATCCAACTTCAGGAGTGGTTTTAGGTGTCATTCTACTCATGGTGGCTTCGCTCCAGGGCATAATAACACCCTCTGTGGACCAGCTACAGTGCTGTGACAGAGTAAACAACACACTGGCACAATGGGCTTCCTGGCCGTCCAGCGTCTGTGGCAGCTTCTCACCAGGCTTCCGTTGTCCGAACACATCAGTCACTAGACGGGTGGTGCAGTAGCTCTTTTCCACGTTTGCTGAAATATTTGTCATGCAGTTTCCATGCCGAGTCTTTCTGCTACTTGTCCATTTTACAAAGGTTGCTTGAATTAAAATAATAAGACAGTCTGATTCCACACAGCCAGGGCTGTCCATTGCACACAGGGCAGCTTTCAGAGTGGATGAGCAACTCGTGGGACTGTGACACAGACTCACACATCCAGTGAGGGAACCACTGTGATTTCTCTTTCCCAACCTGCCTCCTCCCACACAGGCAGCTAGCTCCCCTTGGCCCTGAGAGCACCTGCTCATCAAGAGGACACTGATGCCCTTTGTGACCCTCTGCCCCCTGACCGTCATGCAGACTGAACATTACTGTCCAGACCTAAATGGGAGTCATGGGTGGTTTATTGTCTGTCAGTTGAAACTGAAGCTCAGATACTTGCCATACTTCACTGGATCTTCCTGAATATTCCAACGAATAGAGTGCTCATTTAGATAATCAGCGTTAGTGTGTGACAAGAGCACTCATTTAGATGATCAGTGTCAGTGTGGGACACGGTTAAAAGACAGAGGGTGAAAGAAATGCAGTGAAGATGTCATATTTGAGTGACCAGGGTGAACTATGTACAAGGAATTCTTTGGGCTACTTTGCTGTGAGTCTAAAGTTATCTTAAAATTGAAAAACAACCATAAAGCAACGTGAAATACAAAGGAAATGAGCTCTCAGGGTCAGGAAAAATGGCTCATTAGGTAGGAGTACATGCTTTGCAAGCATGGGCTCCTGGGTTCAAATTCTCAGAAACTGTGTAAAGAGCTGGACACAGATGAGTGTGCCTGTAACCCCACAGGGGTGGGGAGCGGGTGGATGTGAACAGATAGAGTGTAAGAGTTTGCTGGTCAACCCGCTGAAAAGACAAGCTTCTGGTTCACAGAGAACGTGTCTCCAGGCAATAAGGCTGATGGCAACAGCATCTTGCTCTGGTCTCCATAGGTGAGCACGCTCACACTCTGTGCGTGTATCTCCCTCGTGTGCCACACCCACAAACAAGGGAATCGGGGGCCCTGGTAAGGACAGGGCAGCTTTGAGGAAGGTAATTCCTGTCCGCACGTCCAGGTCACGCCCTTGACAGCTCTGAAGTTTGCAGAACTGACGGTGAAAGCAGGCTTTCCCAGGGGGGTGATCAACATTGTTCCAGGCTCAGGTAAGCGTGCAGGGGCCCATGAGTCCCTCAAGGAGTTAAGTGCTGTTTTCCACTGCAGTCTTAGCCTGAATGAACCACATGAAAACTGAACACAGTTCACCAAGAGTAAATATACCTACCGCATTCTAAAAACAGAGTTGAGTTCACCAAGGGTAAATATACCTATCGTGTTCTAAAAACACAGAGTTGGAATCTAGTGTGTAGGGTATGGGAAGGTATGAGGGGGATGGGATAGTATTGTAAAACCGCCCTAAGGTGGGCCATTTTTATTTTAATAAGCACTTTGAAAGACAACAACTGAGGCTTCTCCATCAAGGGTCAGGGCGTGGGTACAGCCAGGCTTCTCCATCAATATGGGGGACGTGCACACAGCTGCATGGAGGATATTGTCTTAATCTGTTTGTAATTAATGCAGAAAACGCAAAATGCTGGTTTAAAAAGTGTAGAAACCTACTTCAGCAAATGCAAACCCCACCCAAGCAAGATCTGAGTCATGTTTCTCCCCTAATTAATTCCACAGGGGCTGTTGCGGGACAGCGGCTTTCCCAACACCCTGACATCCGTAAGCTTGGTTTCACTGGCTCCACGTCCGTGGGCAAGCAGATCATGAGCAGGTACAGGTTTCACTCGGGTTTCACCAGAGCGTTTCAGAGCAAGCAAAGCCAGGGCTCGGAGAGGCCTCAGTTGGCAGAGTGTTTGCCTGGCTTGCACAATGCCCTGGGCTTGATTCCTAAGCTGCAGAGAGCAGACATGGCCGCCCACCCTGTAATGTCAGCACTCTGGAGGTGGAGGCAGGGGGTCAGAAGGTAAAGGTCATTCTTGGCACTTGAGATGCTCTCAAAACAAACAAACAACAACAAAACTAGAGCTAGAAAGACCACATCAAATGGAGAAACTGACCTTATCACTGACGAATATTGAGATACATAAATGTAAGACAAAACTCCACAGTTGAAACCTGGGCCACCGGCTGAGGACAGAGCTGTGTGGTCAACGTGCCTAACAAAGCCAAACACAGCCAACATGACGGTAAAAGATGTGGCAGGTCACAGACCCCAAACACTCAAGTCCAAATGATATAAGCAACGGCCAGTGAGGCAGGAGAATTCTGTGGGCTGTTTTTGTTTTCCTATGATCGTATCTGCTCTGAGTAGGAGCCCAACAATTGGTGGGACTATGTTGAAGATGGCCTTGCTCTGCAGCCCTTGGTATAACTGAATCCCCATGAGAGTCTTCATTCTTTGAGCAGCGACTTTCCAAACGCTGCAGAAAGCCTCTAAAACAGACAAAAGGGAAAATGGAGCACAAGAGCCTCACACTTACCACCCAGCCGCCCTTTCGGGTTTCCTCTCATCCCGTCCCTCTCCTCTTTGAGACACAGTTTCTCTGTGTAGCAGGGGTGGCCTTGAACTCTTCACACTCCATCCTCCTATCTCCACTATCTGAATGCTGGAACTACAGGCATGCACTGCTGCAGCCTCATGAATAAGTTCCTAGTGTTTCCAAAGCTCAATTGTGTTTTCCATATCAAGTAGTAATGAGAGAGAGAGAGAGAGAGAGAGAGAGAGAGAGAGAGAGAGAGAGAGAGAGAGAGAGAGAGAGAGAGAGAGAGAGAGACTAACTGCTCTCTCCTGTTTGTTTTCCCCCAGCTGTGCTGTGAGTAACCTGAAGAAAGTTTCCCTTGAGCTTGGTGGCAAATCCCCACTTATAATATTTAATGACTGTGAACTTGACAAGGCAGTACGGATGGTAAGTGGACCAAACCCAGGCAGTGGGTGCCTAGCTCTCTTCAGATGGGACCTACTTTAGCTAGTCATACATAAATGCCATCTTTTTGTTTATCCTAAGGACGCTTGATTTTGTAATGCCTTTTTATGATATCTCCATCCTGCCTGCGAGCACCTTGCCTCCTTCATCCTTTTTATCTGTTCTGGACACTGGGATCTGGCTAGACTGTCTAAACAAACCTAGCAAAGGGTTTGCCTGCATGCCCGACACCTGAGTTCCATCCCGCAGACCCACACGGTGGAAGGAAAACCCACCTCTTTCAAGCTGTCTTCTGACCTCCACACACACACATTCCTGCACCTGCCTCCAAAAAATAACATGGAAAAGATGTCTAACATATTAGCAGGGCTTGCCTATGCATGCATGGAACTCAGGGTTCCCTTCCCAGCACAGCATACACTGGGCATGGCGGTGCTCCTCTATAATCCCTGCACTGAAGATGGGGAGACAGGAGGATCAGAAGTTCAAAGTCATTCTCTGCTTCATATTGAAGTCAAGGCTTCCCTGGGCTACAGACCCTGTCTAAAAGCCATCGATCAATCAATTGCTCAGTCAATAGTAGTTAGCAGCTGAGCTTAGTGAGTGATGTATACCTACAGTACTTGTTACTCAAGAAGCTGAGGCAGGAGGATCATCTGAGCCTGGAAGTTCAGAGCCAGGATGTACATTCCCTTAAAAACTTACACTTGGCAGCAATCTCTTTCCTGGTTTCCACTTAATGCACCACCAAGGATGAAGCTAGGTGAGCAGGCACAGGGTCTCCTACTAATTTTGCGCCCCAAGGGATTTAGACCAATGTAGCGGGTGCGGAGCCAGGTTTTCTTCTGTTGGCCACAGCTATACTCTATCAGCTAGGGATCCACAACCGGCTCCCACCATGCAGGAACCGGACGCATTGCGTTTGTACACGTGGGGCCAGGGCAGACAGCTCAGTCAGTACGGCAAGCATGAGGACCCCCATTTGGAGTCCTAGCATCCATATAAGAAGCCAGGTAGGGGACCGTGTGCACCTGGCGTCCCTGCTGGAGACAGGAGCCACTGAAGTCTAGCCATGGACTCTGGCTAAAAAGTGAGAGACTGTGTCTTTAAAAAAAAAAAGTTAAAACTGGAGAGCAACTAAGGAAAACAGGTGTGTTGGCCTCTAGTTTCCACATGTACGCGCTCATGAACGTGCTCTCACGCTCATGAAGGGCCACCCTCTGTGTGGAACTGGACGGCAGGCTTGACTTCAGCAATGCTAATGTGGCCTTCTCTTCTGCTTCTGAAGGGCATGGGCGCAGTATTTTTCAATAAAGGAGAGAACTGCATAGCAGCTGGACGGCTGTTTGTGGAAGAGTCCATCCATAATGAATTTGTGACCAGAGTGGTAAGGCATCTTCAGATTCGCGTTCAGTCTGACAGATTTCTTGAAAGGCGCTTCTGGGGTGAGTCAGGGTTTCAGATGTGAGTCAGCAATAGCAGGGCTGTGGAAGTCGAGCGGGCTGAGGATGGTTCAGTGACGGAACCAGTGCTTGACATATGTGTGGCCCTGTGTTCACGCACACGGGCACCCCAGGTGTGTTGGTACTTATCTGTAACCCTAGTGAAAAGGAGACAAGAAGGTGCCTGGGACCCACTGGCCAAACAGCCTCGACTATCCAGGGAGCTCCCGGCTAAGGAGAAACCCTGCCTCAAAAGAGGAAACCGAATCCATTCTGGCATTTCTGGCATGGGTATCTCATGGGAACCTCACAAGGGCATTCTGCCATATTTAAGAAGGGAAACACACTAGAAATTATTTTGCCATCAAGGTGACATGTTAATGAACATCACAGAATGTTAGTTAATATTCAGAAGTTGAATACACAGTGCCAGGCTTGTATTGTTAGAAAATAGTACTTAAGAAATTGGCCTTAGCCAGGAATGGTGGCACACGCCTTTAATCCCAGCACTCGGGAGGCAGAGACAGGCAGATCTCTGTGAGTTCGAGGCCAGCCAAATTCCAGGACAGGCTCCAAAACAATACAGAGAAACCCTATCTTGAAAACACCAAAAAAAAAAAAAAAAAAAAAGAAAGAAAGAAAGAAAGAAGGAAAGGAAGAAAGCCATGGTGTAGAGTGACTGTGACCAGGCAGGCCACTAAACCCTCAGTTTCTCCTGTAACGTGGAAATAGTGAAAACTTACTTCCAGTGCAGCTGCAAAGAGCCAACCGCACATCTGTCAGCTGCTTAGTACACCATGCACCACACGGAAACTCGGCCAGGGGATCCACTGTCCCCACTAACACTGGATGTGGACTGGGTAATGTACAGGTGGAAGAAATTAAAAAGATGAAGATTGGTGATCCGCTGGACAGATCTACGGACCATGGGCCCCAAAACCACAAAGCCCATCTGGAAAAGCTGCTGCAGTACTGCGAAGCTGGGGTGAAGGAAGGAGCCACACTGGTGTACGGAGGACGACAGGTGCCGCGGTCAGGTAAGGGCGCCTCCCGGAAGTGCCGGTGCCTGCCCACACCCAAAGCGAGAATGGATGGCGATGGCTTCTGTGTCGGTGCCATCCCTGCAGGAGAGTGTGGTGTGTGTGTGTGTGTGTGTGTGTGTGTGTGTGTGTGTGTGTGTGTGTGTGTGTGTGTGCGCGCGCGGAATCCAGATCCATCGGTTCTCTCTGGAGCTGGTGAAAGGTGAACCACCAGATTTTAAGTGTTGTGAACCAAATGTGAATTCTCTGTTAGAGCAGACCACACTCCTAATCATTGAGCCATCATCCAAACCAATAGTAGAATTTATACTATGACCCAAAAATGTATGTTTACTCTGCTGGGTCACTTACTTTTTGAGTCAGGGTTTCTCTGTGTAGCCTCAAACTCAAGAGATCCGCCTGCCTCTGCCTCCCAAATGCTGGGATTAAAGGCGTGTGCCACCACTGCCCAGTTTTTTTGTTTTGTTTTGTTTTTGATTTGCAAGGATTCTTCTGTGAAAATGTCCCTGTACCACCTATGCAGTCTTCAGTTCATCCAGGAAACACATGATATTTTTATTTTCCTTTCAATTACCAATATTTAAAATTAGGGGCTGGAATAGTGTAGAAAAATCACTGTCTTGCATTTCTCTAACAGATAAAATCTCTGATTCCGGAAGAAAATGGTGGTTCATGGAGGCTGGCGTTGTTAGATCAAGGCAGTGGGAGGGGAAGAGATGGGTTAGGGGTTTACATCACTGGCTGCTCTTGCCAAAGACTGGGTTTGGTTCTCAGTACCCACACAGTAGCTCACGACTGTAGCTCTAGGTCCAGAGGGTTCTTCTGGTCTCCGTGGGCAGCAAGCAAGCAAATGGTGTGCATACATCCAAGCATAAAGTATTATTTTTTAAAAAGACTTATCGTTTTTATTTTACGTGCATGGGTGTTTTACCTGTATGTGCGCCTGTATATCACGTGCTTGCCTGGTGCCTGTCACAGTCAGGAGAGGAGCTGTATCCTCTGGGACTGTAATCCCAGATGGTTGTGAGTTCAAACTTGGGTCCTCTGGAAGAGCACGTGCTCTTAACCATTGAGTCATCTCTCCCTAACCCAATTTATTTTCTTTAAAGGAATACGCTGTATAGATAAACAAATATCACTGCTAAGACATTCTATGGCTTACATACTTGGGAAGCTGAGGCAGGATGGGGGTTCAAGACCAGCCTGGGCTGCATAGCAAGCTCCAGGACCCTGAGCACCAGGGAGCTGTTGTCTCAACGGAACAAAGAGGAGGGAAGGGCAGGAGGAGTAAATGCCGAATTAAAAGGGGAGTGAGAAATTAAACAATCAAATCTATCTGCAGATTTATTTCAATCTTAATTAAATAAAAGAGGGTAGTAGCTATCAAACACTGAAAGTGAAATAAAAACATGAGTAAAGAATGTCTCAGTTTCATGAGCGTTAATCTCTATTGTGGTTATGTTTTTAAAAATGCCTGTTCTTTTGCCTGACTTGTACCGAATGAAAATGGAGTCTGGATACTGTTTTAAGACATGGCAGTGGGGAAAATAGCAAATCAAAGATGCTGAAATATGAATTTTTATTAAGTACATGCTCTACTTTGACATCCTTGAAGCTTTCACAATAAAACCGTTAAAAAAAGAAGCAGTCAGGAGGGTTGATGAGGCATAGAAGATGGCTCGATTCTTGTTTGGCTAAGCCTGGGGTGGAGATGGACCCCTGAGTGAGCTGAGGATGAAAACGATCTTCCCTGTGACTGACGCTTTGGATTTTACTCTCAGGGTTCTTCATGGAACCAACTGTGTTCACAGATGTCGAAGACCACATGCACCTTGCCAAAGAGGAATCCTTCGGGCCTATCATGGTCATTTCTAAATTTCAAAATGGGTATGTTCCTTAGGCACACTCTGTAACGTGGGTTTCAGCTAGATACCGTCTCTGTCTTGTAATATACAAAGAGCATGCGACCAACAGACATGCGATTCTTCACCGTAGGAATAAGCCAATTGGGGGCTGGGGAGTCAGCTCAGGGGATCAAGCGATTGCTGTGCAAACATCAAGTCCTGTGTGCAGATCTCGACACCCACTAAGAGGGAGGTGTGGTGGCATGCACCTGCGAACTGGGTGTGGGGGAGACAGAGACAGGAGATCTGTCAGACAGGCAAGCCAATCCAGCCTGACTGGTGAGCTCCAGGTCTAATGAGGGACCCTGTCTCAAAAGCTAAGGTGACAGAATGACTGTTGAGATCTGGAAAGGGTTTGGGGTGGGGGGCACTGGAGAGCTTTGACCCTGTACAGACCTGGAGAGGGGTGCATACAGGATACATGCTCTGGAAGTCAGGGAAAGGAAGCTCACAAATGATCCTTGAAGACTGAAGAGACAATGCTGGTCAAATGGAGAGAGACACTACACAGCATATGTGGAGAGTGAATACTCTAGGTTATAATATCTCACACAGTTTTTCAGTGTCGGCCTGGAGTATTTCATTAATAAAAAGTCTAAGCAGGTGCCAGGGAAGTTTTCCTGCTTTAACATGCAAAAAACCCCTTCCAGCAAAGTGAGTGTGCTTTACGGTACTTTTAGTGGTGTTTTCTGCCTCTGCAAACATCTTACAGGGACATCGATGGAGTGCTGCATCGAGCGAATAACACTGAATATGGTTTGGCCTCTGGGGTTTTCACGAGAGACATCAACAAAGCCATGTATGTGAGTGACAAGCTAGAGGCGGGAACAGTTTTCATCAACACCTACAACAAGACAGATGTGGCAGCCCCTTTTGGTGGAGTGAAGCAGTCTGGCTTTGGAAAAGACTTAGGTGAGTGGGACATATTTCACTTCTGTCCATCCATGTTACATCACACAGAACATACAGTCCGAGACAACAACACCCCTCATTGTTTTAAAGGGCATCTTCCACACAGCAGTCTACAAAGGACACTGGGATTTTAAAATCCATTAAATAGTTTTTAAGACAGCTTCAAAGATTTACTTGGGTGCATGTGTAAGTGTGCCATGTCACACATGCTGCCCTCAAAGGGCAGTTGCCCAAGTTAGTTCTCTCCTTTCACCCCGTGGGTCCTGGAGATTAAACTCAGGTCATGGGGCTTGCATGAGAAGTGCCTTTACCCATCCAGCAATCTCCCGGATAAAATGTTTTAGCTAAAATGTTTTGGGTTGTTTGATTTTTTCTCCCCCCAGACGGGTTTCTCTGTGTAACATTCCCAGTTGCCCTGGAACTCACTTTGTAGACCAGGCAGGTCTTGGATCTCACTAGGATCCACCAGTCTCTGCCCCCTCCAGTGCTGGGATCAAAGACATACGCTGCCACCCTGCAGGATTTTTTTCTTCAAATCTTGACTCTCGGTATGAAACCAAGAAGACAGTCTGCGGGTTGAAGTAGCGCTGGAGTTGGTCCTTTCTCTAAACTGTCTTGCAGAGTCACTGAGATAAGCAGGGTGTGTTGGGTATGTTGGGCCTCTAGGATCAGAGTATGGACAATGCTGACACTTTACAGTCAGTGTTGCCCCGACATTTCTCAAGCCACAGCTCACTTTGGATGCTGAAGTTGTGCTGGGCCCTGAAGTTGGACTTTACTTGATGAGCACAAGCAAGTGAACCCAGCAGACAGGTGCTAGGATCTCAGGCTCTGAGACAGGAGGACCAGTTCAACAGCATCTTTGGCCAAACAGAAAATATGAGGCTATGTATGTGAGTCTCAAAATTATCTGAAACACAAAGTATTTGATTTGCTGAAATTTACCTGCAAATCTGGCTCATATGGGGCCTTAAATTCTCTTCCCAACTGTTATGCCAAGTTTGTGAGATCCCAAAAGACCACCAAAGGAGCAAATGCACAAGGCTGATTGTTAAGCCTCTGCAGGGACCCTGCCCAGCAAACTGGTGCAGCAGCTGCAGGAAAAGGATGCCTGGCCTCTACGGCAAGAGGTTCATAAAGGAAAAAGCCAGAGGGTAGTGCGTGCCTTGGCTGTTCAGGATTGGGTAAGAGTAGGTGACTTTTGGATTCATTGACGGGTTTAGGGAAATTTCAAAATTGTTACTAACAGCTGCCCACAAGGACATTTGTGCTGTGCAGATGTTGTTTACCAGAATTACTGTTTTGACTTTTTGGACCGGGACAGGCAGTTTGGGTGTTCCTTGGAACTGTTTAGGCTCCTTGGATGGAGCTGAGTTAGTCTTGTGCAGGGAATTTCTTAAGGTGACTTTTTCTTAGAATGGAGTCCAGTCTACCCTGCTCTCTCACTAACGGTTATCGACAATGTATTCACAGGAATAAAAAGTGGTCTTGGATCTAAAACATAGTTGGAGGTTTTCTTGGAAAATTTTTGCTATAGAAGCAACCATTTCTGCTGGTTCTCTGACAGTGTAACTGATAGTCAAAGGCTTGCTTTATTAGAAAACACTAGTGCGCCTGTGGTTCCTACAAGTTTTATTAGAAAACACTAGTGTGTCTGGTGGTTCCTACAAGTTTTATTAGAAAACACTAGTGTGCCTGGTGGTTCCTACAAGCTTTATTAGAAAACACTAGTGCACCTGTGGTTCCTACAAGCTTTATTAGAAAACACTAGTGCGCCTGTGGTTCCTACAAGCTTTATTAGAAAACACTAGTACGCCTGTGGTTCCTACAAGTTTGAAAGCCCCTTAGTCTCAATATTGGCTATCCCTTGGGTTACAATCATCTAAAAGCCAAAAAAAAATCCAATTCAATTGCTCTGGAGCAGGCTGGGAACAAGTTTGCAATTCTCCCTCCGTTACTCTAGTGAGGGGACAAGTTGGACAACCCTCTATCTACTGTGTTCATTAGTGTCTTTGTGACACTACGCCCTTGGCCCCTATATCCTGTCTACCATCTTCAGGCACTCTGACCCTGGCCTCTGTAGTGACCACTTGCCTGGAAAAAGGCAAAGCCTAGATGTGGTCTTGTGTCTCTACCCAGCAAAGGAAACTGCACTTCCTTTCTCTTCACAGTAAGTTGAAAGTGAATGTCACCTAGCTTTCCTCACTGTACTCAACTGGGCTTTATTTAATGTGACTCAACAGATTGCACCCTGGTCACAGGATTGCAAAGTGAAGAAACAGATGGAATTCATCAAGCAGGGAACAGGAGGAAGGCTATGGCTGAAGCTTGCCAGCCAAGGTCAACCCTTGCAGGGCTTGGAAGGCTAAGTCCTTAGTAATCATCATGGTCCATGGTCCATTAGCATTTGCACTGTGAGGACTGTTAGGGATGCCTAATGTCACTGTCTTCCCCTAACTTAACTCAATGCACCTTCGAGTCAGCAAGGCCCTGGGATTTGTGTGAACCTGAGGAGCATTGGCCTAGGCCACAAATCTTCACCCATCTTTGTGCATGTTCTACTGGGTACTCTTTTCTTCCCCAGGTGAGGAAGCCCTGAATGAATACCTCAAAACTAAAACGGTGACACTCGAGTATTAGAGCATCAGGAAGTCTTTGGTGAACAGCCGTGTCTCAGCCCCTCACAAGCTGACAAAGGAAGAACCGTCTGTGAACCCCAAAATATACACAAGGACCAAGAAGAGGGTTGGCCCACTCATGTGAGCACTTGCCCGAGGGCCTCAGTAAATTCTAATACACCAAATGCTTACCTCTGTTAGGTTTGAACAGTGTTGGGTATTGCCTGTATTTCTAAAGTACCACTGCCTGCTCCCTCCCAGGAAGGGACTTTTCTCTTCAAGGTTCTCCATTTCGAACACACTGACCTCACTCAGCTAAAACGTACAGATGCATTTAGGATTCCTGGGTTTCTAACCCCTGAGCCATACATAGTGGATCCTGACAATGGTTTCTTTAGTTTTGCTTTCAATAACAGTGTATCCCACACAGAATATGATGGCTGTCCATTTTCCTTTTCATAGAAGATCGACCTTTGTGCCTTTGACTATTCTGTAACCCACTGTGACAGACGAGCAGCCGTGAGCATTTCTTCCACATCTACCTACTTGGTACAAGGTTAAGTTCTGAGGACACCACATTTACTAACATCATCTTTGGTCTATAGTTGGAATCCTGGTAACCAGCCTTTCAGGTGAATTTTAGGGCATAAACAGCACATGCTGGCCAATCACAGTCACAGTACACTGTCTTACTCTCTGGCTGGGGAAACTGCCTGGCCCCTCTGAGCTCCGGCTTCCTTATGTACAAACAGGGCTAGCAGTGCCTTCCTCAGAGCCCTCATTACAAGGACTCTGTGCAATAAGAAAAGCCCCAGCACTAGACTCCACTGTCTGTGTAAACCATTAAATTTAAGTCTTCCTTTCCATCACTGCGTTAGCTGACCAGGTGAGTGAACTCGCTAGAAGGCTCATAAACCAGTGGAGTTTAACTTCCTACTTCTCAATCAGCCATGCTTGGACTACTCTTCCTACCCATTCGCCCCCCATGGTGTATGACACAGTAGAAGAAACCACCACGCAATGAAAACTCTGCTGATACAGTGGCTCATGTCTGTAACACCAGACTCAGGAAGCTGAGGCAGGGTGACCACTGTAACCTCAGGTCAACCTGGGCTACGCATAAGGCTTAGGCCAACCTGAGTATAAATAAACAAAGCAAACAAAAAACACCACCAGCAAAATCAACCAAATTTTAAAATGTCAGTGTAAATATTCTCTTCAAAGCAGACTTCAACTTACTAGACTGACCTTAGTGAACATGGAGTTGGAAGAAATACAACTGACAAGCCAACATCAGCACACACAGCCTCCCGCAGAACTGTCCTCGCCGTCCACAGCTCCTCGCTGCCTCACTCTGAGAGCTCTCCAGACACACGCTCCACGACAGTGCTCACACAGCGTATGTGCTCTTGGCTGCTCTGTCATTCTGTGCCTCCCTCTATGTTCATCCTGTAACTCAGCTCTGCTTGGCCTGTACCCCCAGTTGGGTGCAGACAACTGTAATGCAAGCTTTGGGAACAAGTGCTGGCTCTGTTCAGTGCTGCATCTGCTGTGCCTAAGATGTAGGGGAGCTCAAGAGACACCTGCTTCCAGTTAAGAGGTCAGCTGATGTGCCTAAGTTTGTCACACATCTAGTAAGTGTCTGTGCAATGATCTCATAGCCTTCACCATGAGATTTTTATTCCCAATGCCTTCAATAGGGCCTGGATATGTAAGGGAGGGATACAAATAACTATTTCACAAACTAAAAATAAAAAAATAAGCACATACATATTATCTGCAAGAGCTTTTGCATAAATGGTTAGAAAGAGGGGCATGAGCCAAATTTGCTTCTCCATACTTCATGCTCCATGAAAATGAAAGTTAGGGGAAGCCTAGGCTATGAGGAGTAATGAAAGGTGGAGGATGAGCCGTAGCTCAAGGGAAGGGGACTGTTTCTACTGTTGCAAATACACTTTAAAAATTCACTTGCGTATCAAAATATGTCTAAAAAAAGACATTATTGTCTTCCCACTTAGACGGGCAAAACGTGAAAGGTGGTAGGTTAAAATGACTGAGGGGCTGGGTGTGGTGACTCACACCTTTAATCCCAGGACTTCAGGAGGCAGAGGTAGGCCTGCTCTACATAGTGAGTTCAAGGCCGGCCAAGGCTATACAGTGGGACTCTGCCTCAAAAATAAAACAAAAATAAAAACAAAAAACCCCAAACACACACACAAAAAGGTGGTGGTGACTGGAAGGGATTATTATTCTTACATACTCAAGTGATTTTAAATAGTACCTAATTATGTAAAAAGAAAACGTGACGCTGACTCATCTATCAGTTATTTCTACAGAAATAACCACACACCTAAGATTTCTTCACTGATACACTTGTTAATAGGGTACTAACTTGTTACTTTCGTTTGCAACCAGTGAGGTCGTACTCCTATCAATAAACACATCTGTGCATAGTTTGGTGATTACAATCCAGTACGTCCACTCTTGGAGCTGTAAGGTCGCTGTTAGACGGGCATCACAGCTCAATACTTACTGAGTATTTGTGTTAGGGCCAGTGACAGGCTCTGCAGGGAAAGCTCTTGCTGCCAAGCTTACTCTCCTAAGACTGAGCCGTGGAATCACCCCATGGTGAGGGGAGAGCTGACTCTCACCAGTTGTCCTTCCCTTGCACACACACACACATGACAAAGAGATAACATTTTTTATTTTATTTATTTATTTATTTTGGTTTTTACAAGACAGGGTTTCTCTGTGTTGTTTTGGTGGCTGTCGGTCCAGCCCAGCCTCGAACTCACAGAGATCCGCCTGCCTCTGCCTCCCGAGTGCTGGGATTAAAGGCGTGCGCCACCACCGCCCGGCCCATTTTTTTAAATAAGAATTTGTGTCAGGTTATGGTAGTACCTGCTGTATTCCCCCTGGGCACTGGAGAAACAGGTAGAAAGGTGTTGAGTTCAAGGCCGCCATAGGATACATATTGAGGCAAATACAAAAATAAAAACTTGTAGCCAAAGTTACACTTGCTAGGATAAATTCCCGCAAATGAGAGTGAGTTCTGGGTCAAATACATAATGACCAAGTTTCCCAAGAAGTTTGCTGCTGTTGTGCGATAGTCACACAGTGCCCGGCACCTCAGTCTTACTAAGCACTGCTCTATCCAAGGCGTCTATCAGTCCATTAACTTGTTACAGTAACTCTAACGGCTGGGCTGAATTTGGTCCAGATAGCTTCAGAGTCTGTGCTCATGGCACAGCGATGCCAAGGTGTGGGGACTTACATTAAATGTGGAAGGGACTGTCTGTCAGGACAATGAGGAAATGCGGTCCCCAATAGGCAGGAGTCGGTGCGTGCGCGCTGTGCACGCCGTATGTGCAGTGGAGGGCCACTCAGGGCAGCACTGCTTCTCTGTCCCTGCTCTCTCTAACTCTCACCTACTTGGTCTACCTGCGACCTCGGAGACAAGCTCCAGGAACCAGGAGCCACCGTAAGACACCACAGTTTCTCTCTACTTCTGGCTGGGAAGGTTCATCTCACATACACGTCCCCAAAGCACAAATGGACACGAACTTTCTGTGATGAGCTAGAGGGGACCCACAGATCCTAGAGTCTGCTGGTAACACGTCCCGTTTCCTTTGGAGCCATTGAATCAGGAAATGAGATGATGTTTAAGCTCAAGCACTTCCCGTACACAGAAGTGAGAGAAAAGAAGGTTTACAGACACCGTATATTCCAAATAGGCCCTGTATCGGGCACTGAGGGACGCACAGAGGGCCTCACCACAGCACAGCAATGCATGCCTACACACAAGTTACAACCACCGTAGCTGACATACAATTAAACACTTGGAACATGTATTTACCATGACAATTCTGCATACAAGACATTTACGCTCTGTGAATGTCTGATTCACTTTATATCACCTTTTAAAGAAAAATAAAGTGTAACTACCACACAGTAAACTACAAACATGAAATTTACAATTTAAGAAGGATTTGTACATGAGTGGCAGCACTTAAGGGTAGTGGCCGATAAGGGAGGACACAGACAGAAAGCCCTAACCACTTCCCATGAGTGCTCCCCCATCTTTATCTTTGATATGGGAGGTTGGCTTTCATCTCCAAGTCTCTCTGTTTGCACTGATTTGTGATAGATTACTGAGTATTTAGGACCTTCACCGGTTTAAGTTTCAAATGGCTACCCTGGGTTTTCTAGACCTTTAAAGTTTGCTTCCACGAAGTTTTCCTTTTTCCTTTCTGATTTCAGGCTTACATTAGTTGGAGGGTATTTCTCAATTATGTTACCATACATGAAGACATTTTAGTATGATGTCTTTATGATTTTACTCCTTTCAAATTGTGTGTGTGTGTGTGTGTGTGTTTTACCTTTGTATATGACAATGAGGTTAAATCTATTTTTTCTGGAAAACAGCTTGTCCTGACATCCCAAATAATTCACTCATTTTACACTGACTTGAAATAACATTACCACTTCAGTAAGTTATCATTTCTCGAGATTCATGCACATGCAGACGGTACTGACTGAACTCAACAGGTTACATATACATGAACATATATGGCATATCCCAAGAGTGGGGCTATTCAAACCACCAGTCAGGACAGAATGGAATGAGTACTTCAAGCTCATAAGGTAAGCGGCTGACAGCAACAGGCTATACCCAGCATCTGGGAAGCAGGAGCAGGTGCATCTGAGAGGTTCAAGACCCATCTCCTACCGAAGGCCACCGTGTAAAGGTGATCAGGACATGACTACATGTGACCTGGCATGGTGGAAAAGACATTTCCTTAACTGAAATTTCCTTTTCCCATATGACTCTAACTTGTGTCAAGTTGACATAAAATTACCTAGCACATCCTACATTAAAAAAAATCAGCAAGAACAGAAATAAATTGCTGATACATATCAAGAATTTGGAAAAACAAAGTCAAACCAAACCAAAACCAAAACCCAGTAGATGGCAAGAAACATTAAAAATAAAAGCTGAAATTAATGAAACAAAGAAAATAATACAAAGAATCAATGAATCCAAAATCTGGTACTTTGAAGACAGACCCTTGATCCAATTAACAAACAGATGACCCAAATTAGCAAACTCAAATGAGTAGGTAAACATTATAACAGGCACATAAAACCAGAGTAGTATAAGGGAATGCTTTAAAAATCTGCATTCCATCAGGTTAGAAAACCCTGAAGAAATGTATGTTTCTTTCTTTATTTAGTACAATTTATTTTTCCATTTTACATACCGTCCCCAGTCCCCCGGTCCCAGTGCCAGTGCCCAAAGTCAGAATGAGAAGGGATCAACTTAAATGAAACAAGGAAGGGGCTGGCACAGTGGCTCACATCTGCTGACTGCACCAGATGCACCGGCATCTCCTTAACAGATCTAACAACTGTGCCTACCGACTGCGAAGCAT